TTGACTTTTTAACCAGTTCATGACAAAAATGATTCACATGTTGTTCTTTAATAAACTATACAAAAACAGCCGATAGATATTGACTTCTTTTTTATGTTCATAAACGTACTATTATGTTGTTATAAAATCTAAATCACAAGTTTAACAAACACACAAATGATTGGTTTTAAATTATTAACAAGAAATTAAAGTCAGCAATTATTGAATAAATGCAGGCCCTCTAATGTGTGTACGAGACCAACAGAATCTTAATCCAGTATGGTACTAAACAATGTAACAATGACTTCTTTATAATTAAAGCACCACCATTGTTTTAACATCTCAAAAAAACTTTATTCTTGAGATCCAAAAACTGTCCATTTAAAGTCTTATATAGTCCTATCTTTGTTGTTGGAAATAATTTTGAATCATCCCTTCGTATCCAACACAAGCCCAAGTGCACCTTTTTGTAAAGTGATCCTGTCAGTTTAAACTTTGCCATGGCACCGAGTCCTGTCCAACGACGTAAGAAGTGATCTCTGTAAAAAGAAGGTACATGTAAAAGTTAATGTCGCCAAACACAGTAGTTATTGACAAAATGGTTTAAAAATTGTATGAATAATCCATAAAAGCTTGGCACATCAATTAATGTGCTTTCAAAGTGTATATATTTGGGTCCGAGTGGGAGCATCTCTGAAATCGAGCCCAAGTGGGAGCATTTTCCATTTTTATAAAAAAACTTTAAAAAACTGACTTTTGCATAGACATATTTGAAACTAATCTAGAAAAATGTGTAAACATGACTCGGTTTATAATCCGGTACGTTAAAATTAATTTTCAAGAAGGTTTCAACCTTATTTCTTATATGTTTCGGGAAAAGTCCGAGTCGGCGAGTGGGAGCATTCAGAGAAAAACACTTATCCCGTTTTCAGGCTTAAACCAGACAATGAATCTATAAAAAAAATTTACAATTATCTCAAGTACTATAGCCATTCTTTGGTGCGCTACATGATGTTTTAATACTCTTACGTTTTCTTATAATAAAACTGTATTTTACCTTCGAATCGACGAAAAAATGGTCCAAGTCCTACTCTGTATTACTGGCAGTGGACGGAAAAAATATTTCCTATTTACACACAGAATAATTAAGTTTGTAATTAATTTTTAATTCTTTTGGTCATTAACTTATAGTAAGAGCTATATTGGTTTAGTTCATGAAAAATACGATGAACCAGGGTCTTTTAAATAGAATTCGATTTAAAAGACCCTGGATGAACCAACAAACAAAATGAAATTAATTGAGACGCATTTACTGTACTTTTAGTTTTAGTGTTCTAATGCCCATGATATCAACTTTCACAGATCAGCTATTATTACTGTGCAGGTTCCTTAAACTTTTATGAATATTGTAAGCATTAAGGAATGACAACTATTGTTAAATACATATTGTAATATTTCAATGCAGATAAAATCATCATCTGTAACATTTATTGTTAAATTTTCAATATTATCATCTTTTTTTTTTAAAGTTGAATATGAAGGATATTCGGATATTATGTTTTCGACCAAGATTATACTGTAAAGACTTTGAAAGTCTGAATTAATGGAAGACAGATGAATGTCAAGATGTTAAAGAGACATGACAAAATTTTTAAGAAAAAAAAACACTATGAAGGATAAGTAATTAAGTTTGCAAACTCGGTTACACAGACCAGGGTCTGTCAAATATTCTCTTTCAATGTATATCAATGAATAAATTGAAAAAAAATACTGATGTGCTAAATTAGCGTACTTAATTTAAAATAAATGGTCCCACTTCACAGACTGTCAAACAGTTTAACTGTTGAAAAGAAGGCGTTACTAACTCGTTTATTTTGTATGTGTCAACGTAAGTCCAACTAATTGTACTGCGCGACGAGATAATGTGCTATTTTCGTGTCTGGGCAATATCTCAGAGCTCCAGATAATTTTTTTGGCCAAGGGGTTTTTACCCCTCAAAATTTAGAGTGAGGGGTAAAATGCAAATTCTGAAAAACTTAAGGGGTAAAATCTGTCAAAAAAGCATTTTGCATTTTTTATAAACAAATTAAACTTATTGGTTTGTTTGTTTGTTTGTTTATTTTCTTTTTTTTTAGAAAAAACCTTTACAAATTAAATACTGATTTAATGTGAAACAATACAAAACATGACATGTAAAGTCAGACTTCCAGAGTATACTGGAACTCAAGTTTAGGATACACAGCAAAATTATCAGGGCTTCCATTTTCAAAATTTGGAAGTCAAAGACTTCAAAATCTCTGATATTGGAAGTCACATTATATAGGTACAGAAGGAAAAGTATCAATTTTTGGAAGTCACAGGCCAAAATGAAGGAGTAAATGTCTCCAAACTTCCACTAGTGGAAGCCCTAAAATTATTTTATTTTCTAGGAGTCAATATTTTTCTTTCTTTATTTCTGTCGGCATGTACCTTATCATGTACTCCAGTTTGAACAATTATAGTTGAGATTAGAATTAAAGAAACATTAACAAGATTTTTTTTTATCTTTCCTTAAAAAAAGTATTGGTCTGAGAGAAAATTGTCCGTAACTGTAGACTGGGTACGAAAATATTGAGTACAAAACTGCAGGTGAAAAACATGTTATTTTGTTCCAACAACAAAAGTTGAAGAAATTAAAATATACTTTTGTTTATATTGAGGCATAGGCATGTCAATAGATGCCTAATCAAACATAATACTGTGTTAACTCCTACGATGATTATCTTGCACAAATTTCATCAATAATTTCACAAGTTGATCTACGGGAGTTAACCTCTCTTCTGTATTTCCTGCTACTTTCGTTTTTAACATGCGTTGTTGACAACAGAATTTTTAGTTTTCAATGCAATAAAATGGAAATATATTGTATTTTTATGCTCAAAACATTTTCTTTTTACATATCAAATGTTTACACTTCTATTCTTTCACGCATAAATTTTGACATAGGAGCGTATTTTCATTTTGTTGTGCGTAACTGTGACGCACCAATTTTAAAAGTGATGCGTATTTTAGATTTTCTATGCGTTTTTTACGCTTATACGCACGCTATCTGGAGCTCTGTATCTTGCCTCTAAAAGCGAGATTCAGAACATCAAAATCCACATTTCACCACAGAAAGATCTCCTTTTGGTTTTGACATTCAAGCGAGATTCTGCCCCAGAACGAAAATATCTCAGAATCAAGCTTCGGCACGTCAATATATTTTGACTACTGTAGTGTCAACGTCTCTGTACATCAGTATTTTTTTTCAATTTATTCATTGATAAACATTGACAATAACAACACATTAACAAAAAAAACAACAACCAAACCCAACAGTTTTGTTATTCAATTTTGCTAATCAATTTCACAATATTAGCAGATGGATAGTTGCATGTAGAATGAAATAAAAGACATGCCTTTCCCCAATTTCACCATGGATCAGATTACCAGATTCATTCCCAATTGCAAATATGCTAATTTTTCTCAATCTTTAAAAAAACTCTCAAATCAAACAAAAATTCCTGATGTCAAAACTGACAAATTTGTTCTAGTTTAGTATAATTATGGTATCAGACAGGATGTTTCCACACATTTGCATAGGTTGAAATGAACAATTTGCACAATTCAGAATTATACTATGCCAAAAGAGCATTAAGGTGTTTCAAAAGGTACCAAATCTTTTTCCAACTTAAGCAATTATACATGCAAAATTTCCCAAACTGGGCGAAGTATTTTATTCCCAAATGGCTAGAAAAAGGCCTGATAGAAAATTAATGTCTATTATAAAAATAGATTAATAATATCTGTCATATGTTGCGGTTCGGACCGGAATATCCGTCCCGAGGGGACCCGCCCATTGGGCAGTAACGAGGCTTGCCGGGCGGGTTCCCGAGGGACGGATGTTCCGGTCTGAACCGCAAACATATGTTAGATATTTTTTCTTGCATATTCTGCCATATTATTTCATATTTAAAATGGTTTACATCAATATGATATATGTTCATGGAAATTAAAGTCATTTCATCCATAACTATTTTCTTACAATAGCTTATGAACTTATAACTTAAATAACAACGGCGAAATGACGTCATCCTAAGCACATATTTCCCTTCTAAAACGACGTCATTTTAACGTGGTTCATTCATAAAGTGCGCTAAAATGACGTTGTTAAGCATGCGACTCATCTGGCAACCCCCATGCCAGATGAAATTTCCGGCATGGGTAAAACTCACGGAAACGCCAGTCTGCTATGCAAGAATATATTAAAAAGATAAGTTTAAGAAACTTTAATGGACAAAACCACCTGTTTATTAATTAAGTACTACTGCATACAAGGAGTTCTTTGGACTGACTTGAATTCTTTTTTTATTATCTTCAGCATTTGCGTAAGATAAAAATTTAGATTTGACTTGTGGATTAAAGAAAATAAATTTGCAGTTATACATGAGTAACTTATACATGGCCATCCATAAAATAGTTTTTACACAAAATTTGTTAGACTTATAAATGCATTCATTATTCTAAGTTAATTAAGGGTGTACAGATATATACTGGTGTTGGTGTCACTGTATTATTGTATTCTTTTTGTAACCAGTTTTCCCTGTATAGATCTAAACATTTTATGAAACCAACAAATATTCGCAATCATATATTGGGTTACAGTATTATTTACAGATGAAATCTATGTATTTGGTATCTGCAGTAGTCATATTTCTCACTACAAAAAATTAATAAACCTACTTTGGATTGTTTTGCTACATACCCCTTGTGCATTGCATCTTGTGACATGTCTATAGTATGCCTTAATATGCCTTAACATTTATCATATATATTAAGTAATGTAATTATGACCAACAGGTTCATTTGTATGCATAGTCTTGAAATGTAACGATACACTGAAAGTAAAAAAACTAAGAATAGATAAAGCACTTTTACATGACTATAATATCTTAAATTGATTAACTTTTCCAAGCATGAAAAAAAAAACAAAAACAAAAACAACAAAAAAACACAACAAAGTATTGCATGAAACAAGTGCCTTTTCAATGTTAATGAAGCTTTTTTCATATCATTTCTATTGAATTATAAAAATTCTTACTTTTGCAGTCTGGCCAGGCTTTGTACTGTTTGTAGCTAATTTATTGTATTTGACATTGACATCCTTAATGTTTCTTTGAAGTCAGTTTATTTCAGGGAGATAATTCATTATGCATGGGTATAACAGAATAAAAGCAGTTATCTCCCATAATTTACAATTAGGGACAATATGTTGATAAGATAAACCTATTAAAATTATCTGAATACATGCTAACATTAAAAGTGTTGCCTCATCTTTAAAACACTTAGCCTGTTTGGGGCAATTAAATGTTCCTAAGCATGTTATGACCAGCAAGCACATCCATACTGTCTATATGCTATTCATTATTGAGGCAGTACAATATTAAAATTTTCCCTAAAAATGATGAATTGTTTTGTTTGAATCATTGAAAGATGAAATAGTCCATTTAAGATATTAATAAATTTGACAAGGTTAGGAAATGTCTTGTTAATTAGTTTGGAAAAGTATTTCCTAGAGATGTTTTAGAAATGGTACATTTCAACCTGCTGCATGAATTGTGCTAAATATAATTGGTATAAATCTTCAAAACATATATGTATTTGATTGTTTCATTAACAATATTTCATTAACAAATGCATGCCTCTTTATAAAAATTTCAGATCAAATGATAAGTGTCACTTGAGAGGTATATTCATTTTATTCTGCCAGCTTTACATGGAGTAAATATGAGATTTTTAAACCAAGGGAGACAACTTTTGAACAGAGCATCAAGAGAGAAGTTGCTCCCCTTGCTTGGATCCTGTAGACTGGCATCAACATGGAATTATGAGCATGAGAAGAAAAATTTTAAACTTAAGGCGCCAACACACTATAACTTTGCCAGGGATGTTGTCGACAAATGGGCAGAAAAAGAAATGGTAAAACAGTTTTAAAAATTATCACTTCATCCCTAGAAAAGTTTTAGACATGTCCAATTTAAGCTCTTTATTTTATGGTAATTGTTTGGATAAATGTTAAATTTAATTTTCTGGATTTGTGTTATTTTGAACAAAAATCAAGCTGAAATCAGGATTTTGTGAACTAATGCAACTTGGTTATTGATGTATTCAAACTTTGTGGGTATTTTGATAATATTAAATTTTTCAGCTGGTAGGGATGTGGTCTTAAAGCTACATTAAATAAATATGTAAAAATATTTTGTCGTCGACCTAAAAATCAAACATTTTACAGCACCATTAACCTGTTTAACAGTATTATTGTAAATATCATCAAATATTGTTCATAAATAAGGATTTTAAACGGAAAATCCCATGGTATACGAATTTTAACATGCAAATGAAGATTATAATCAGCTTGTGCATGCGCTACGTCACAGTGTTATAGCTGCTCAAAATATGAGATTTTCTTGTGCAAACACATTTTAACCGTTTAACTTCACGGTGCATTAGGCCTGAGGTTCAGTAAAATGTAATCATCTCATAAAAACAGATTGAATTTGTATGAAAACATCCGTTACAATGCGGAAATAAACCGTTAAATTAGAACTGCTACTTAAAGTCATGTTTGTTGATTTAAAATTGATGTGCGGATGATCTGAAGGCGGAGTTTCTCATGCAAACAGATATTGTACTTCCGAATTCGCCACAATGAGGTTGTCCATTTTTTATGCTTATAAAACTCATTTTGGTTGTCTGGACACAAAAATAAGATCTGGAGTTGATATGAAACCCAATTTATTAACGAAATCTCGCTATTTCTGTTTTTATGAATTTTATTAAATGTAACTTTAAACTTTTTACATTGTTATTTTGACAAGAATTGAAATTTTGACCTCATGTTGAATTTAAATTTATAGTTTAATTACGTTTGTTAAAAAGAGAATGCTTGAATCATAATAACATGATTTATTATGTAACAATGCAGTTTAATTTCACCTTAGAAGACTGATCTTAGACATTGAGTCTAATGACTCTCACCACTGATTCAGAAATCTTTGGGAATAATAGTGGGTCATTTGTATAGAAATTGGTAATTCTTGGTTAAATCAGAGAAAGCCAATTAGGTGATCATTAATCATCTCCTGAGATACGTATGACCAAAAGCATGTGTTAAACTTGACGTAAAGACATGAACATAATCAAATAAATTATTACTATTTCAGACTGGAGAAAGGGGAAATAATCCAGCATTCTGGTGGGTAGATGATTCAGGAAATGAGCTCAAATGGTCATACAGAGATGTTTCCTACCAGTCTAAACTGTAAGTTACATAATACAAAATATGATATAATTAAAAATTAATACAAGTGCAAAAATATTTTTGTCCCAGTCTGTACCTCTTTCCTTTCCTTTCCTTACTCCCAAACACTTGTTTACCATTTCTTAAAGCACCTTTTTTTATTGACTTTGATATTATTGTAGATATTAAGTATAGAAATGTATTGGTACTTTCCATAGTTCTTTCATCCTTGGTTTGGGTTTCATGTCACTTGGGTCAAGGTCACTGTGGCTAAAAATAAATATTCCTTCTTTTCAAAATAGTAAGGCTACTGGCATGCGAGCTGTTCCCATACAGAAGCAGTACCCGTATTTTTCATTTTAACACTTGATTTTTACTTGCATTCTTTAAAAATTGATATCAAATCAAGCAGATGTATGAACGAGACAAAATCTAAGTGACAGTTTGGCAATACGTACAAAAAGTTTTTATTTAAAATCACTTTCACCTGTGCGTTGTCAAAACGTGACCTTGTAAACGTTGGGGGATTCCGTCCTGCCGTGCATGCGCCAAAATATTTATGTATGAGGTCAATTAAAGGGTTTTCCACTAATACCACCTGTGTACAGATGAGTGGGCAATGCGATGAAAACATGTTTAATTATCAGAATTTTGACATATATTAATAATTAAATAATAATATGGCTTTAATGGGTAAACTATCATGCATACAAGCACGCCATTCAGATGCGAATGCGTTGGTGTAACAGTACCTGGTAATAGATACCGGCGTTTAGTCTACCCTGTATAGATATCTTCAATTTTTTTATCTCTGAGAAAATGGTCGGTCCATTAATTAAAGAAGAAAAAACAGGTCTGATATAACGACATTGTATAATTATAATGGGTTATATTTTATATACAGAACTACTTCTTTCCGTACACAATAATGGATAATTCCGGTACCCCTTTTGAGGCCTCATAACCAGGGGTTATACTATGTTTAGAACATAATGGAATTTCCATAATTTGTGTGACGAGCCGAATATTGATGTGTAACAATTAATTTTTTGGTGTGTGAGCGTCATAAGAAATAATTTTTAAGAAACTATGATTTTTGTACTGCTCGCATGCCAGTATGTTTTAATTTTTATGAAAGACAAATTTGGGGAGCATCCCTTGATGCTGTGTTGCCAGAAATCAATTTGCTTTGGATAAATGTTTTTAATTACGATAATATTAAAAACAAATCATCATGTGCCCTTCTCTATCCTATGTGTAAAAGGTGTCAAAATTGTGTGATTGTTATGGAAAATGGGACTATTACATAAGTGATTGGTTTTCTGAATAAAGTTGATTGAATTCTGTGAAAAAAATATGCAGTTGAGCATGAATACAGCTTTATGCAATCAACAAGAAAGATGCAGTCTATCAAAATAGCACACTGTTGTCATTTTCCTTTTATTGTAAACTGTGACTTTTTCAAATGCATGTAGAAAATCAAAGCAAATTTGAAAGAAAATAATATTTTTCATCTTTTTAGGAATGACAATGTTAGTCTGAAAACTTTTTGGCATTAAGTAAAGAAAGGTTCACTGTCATTTAAGTGACTGTACTTAATATTAGAACATGTTTTTTGTTTCAGTGTTGCCAATGTATTAAAGGAAGCATGTAAGCTGGAAACCAATGATGTTGTCATAGTGATATTACCCAGAATACCACAGTGGTGGGCCATAAATGTAGGAGCTATTCGAGCTGGTAAGAGTTTACTTGGCACTTACATGCTGATCGTAGTTATAGAGCAAGGCCAGCCTGCACATCCATGTTGTCTTGTCCACAAGTGCTTGATGTATAACACCCCCCAGCGTACCTCTATATGTAAAATAAACACTGTTTATTATAGATATAAGAAGGTAAGAAGGGTATATTAGACATCAGGCATCTGTGGACTGGTCAGGTTCTGTGTCGATGCTGTCAACTGCATAATCTTATTACTTTGCTATTGCAATCTTTTAAAGACTTACCTGTGAGTGTTTGAAATGAGTAGTTGTTGTAAATAGTTTATGACTATAATGATAATTAGTTATAATAGTTATGTTACTATTTATCAGTGGTTAGGTGGCATTTGAAACGGTATTTTGTGACAAAATGATTAGGCACTATAAATAGAATGGTTAAAAAATCATCTTAGAAGTAGAAATTTTCTGAGCATGTAGAAAAATTGATATTGTTCCTATTTTGAGCAGAAAGTGAGTAATTCCAATGCATATGCAAATCTTTTGTAGTATTTTGTTTACTTTTGCTCGTTATAAATAAATCCCTCCATTGACAAACCCATCCACTCCTATATATATTATAATATATATAAATCAGCAGAAAAAGTAGAAATTAAAAGGACTTGTGAATCTGTGCAAGATAAAAGTACAATTGCGACACATACATGTAGAATTATATGTTATAATGTTTTAACATGTATATACTATTTCAGGTATAATTCTAAGTCCAGGAACAACTCTACTGAGATCTAGTGACATAAAGTACAGAATAAATGCCTCTAATGCTAAATGTGTCATCACAAATGCTGAATGTGCAGGACATGTTGATGAGGTGAGTAAAATATCTGTATCTTGTTTTATTACATGGTATTTAACCCTTACTACCCTAAATAACTTAAATGGACAGATCCATCCTTCAGTCTGGACGAAACCGCCTCTGTGGTCCAGGGGTTAGAGTCGATGACTTCTAATCCAGTTACCTCTCTGGCGTGGGTTCGATCCCTGGGAGATGCTTTGGTGGTTTAGCGTGGAGGAAGGTTAGCTAGTACTGGTGTAACTCTCCAGGAATGATGGTTAGGAAACTACCCACCTTTATGACTGAAATACTGTTTGGAAAAAGGCGTAAAATGAAACAAACAGTCTGAACAAAACCATTTACCATTGTCAGAGAATATTAAAAAAACCCAGTGAACTCCACTTACGATATTGCTTATGACATTTTACCACTTATAACAATGCTATAGCACCCGACTCATGTTTTCAAATTGGTTACCTCTTGGATCCAGATTTAACAATATAAATTCAGCAGTCCTCTGAATATTGCAGGCAGAGTTTACTGTATATGCTAACTGAATAGCAAACAGTGCAGACCATGAGCAGACGGCACAAATAGGCTACATTTGTACGTCATTTTGCATTGGTTGCATATAATCAGTTGCCGTGAGTAGGCTAAAGTTTAAAGCAACATGCCTCTTGATTTGTGTTTATGTTTATGAAAACTTTGAAATTGTTCTTAGGAGTAAAAATGATATCAGGTGAAAAATCTAAGTGATTTAATCTAGGCGTAGCCACTATCTGCAAAAATTACTTCAAACATGTCTCTTGGACGCTTTTTATTCCTTTTGCTTAGGTGAGCAATTGAGGCCAATTTTAAGCTCCTCCTACTCCCACTTGATTTTTTTATCGATTTAGCATCCATGATTTGCTTGGCCATTAGTGGCATATGAACACATGTCTAATCTTTTATCATGGCTATTTTTTCTGTGTGTTTAGATTGGATATCAATTTGATAATGAATATAATTATTTGCTAAATTGCTATTGATGTCAGCACAGTAAGAATAGTTACCAGCAATTCTCCCCTGTTTGTCTGTAGTTAGTTATAATTATTATGCTAATTTCAGCAATTATTTCAGGCATCTTTATGTAAATTCTTTATTTTGAGGTAAAATTTGCTATGGTGACAAGCACTATTATAATAAAAAGCAATTTAAGAAAAATTTGCTAACATACCAGTTTGTATATACAAAGTGTGTATAGTAAAAGTACAATTAACAAACTCTTAGTTAATACTTGCCAAAATTTAAGTCACATGTTTAGCTTTTTTTTTAGCTCAACTGAGCTCATAACTGCTCTTGAAACCTTTTAGAATAGATGGCCATTGTCTGTTGTCTTCAATTTGTTTGTTGGTATAATAGCACCTTTATCTTTTATTAGTCCCCTACCGGTTTACCGGAGGGGACTTTAGGTTTACCCTCCGTCCGTCTGTCCGTCCGTCTGTCCGTCTGTCAGTCCGTCAGTCCGTCCGTCCACAAAACTGGATCCTGCGATAACTTCAAAAGTACTGAAAATATTTTTATGAAACTTGGTATATGGATAGATGGCAGTATGGAGATTATGCACGTCTTTTTCTTTTCTTCCTATGTTGAAAATTCTGGTTGCTATGGCAACAAATAGGCTGAAAATATGGCAAATTTTACACATAAACTGGATCCAGTGATAAAGCAAAAAGTACTGGAAATATTTTTATGAAACTTGACATATGGGTAGATGGCAGTCTTGAGATTATGCACGTCTTTTTCTTTTCTTCCTATGTTGAAAATTCTGGTTGCTATGGCAACAAATAGGCTGAAAATATGGCAAATTTTACACATAAACTGGATCCAGTGATAAAGCAAAAAGTACTGGAAATATTTTTATGAAACTTGACATATGGGTAGATGGCAGTCTTGAGATTATGCACGTCTTTTTCTTTTCTTCCTATGTTGAAAATTCTGGTTGCTATGGCAACACATAGACTGAAAATATGGCAAATTTTACACATAAACTGAATCCAGTGATAACTCAAAAAGTACTGGAAATATTTTTATGAAACTTGACATATGGGTAGATGGCAGTCTTGAGATTATGCACGTCTTTTTCTTTTCTTCCTATGTTGAAAATTCTGGTTGCTATGGCAACAAATAGGCTGAAAATATGGCAAATTTTACACATAAACTGGATCCAGTGATAAAGCAAAAAGTACTGGAAATATTTTTATGAAACTTGACATATGGGTAGATGGCAGTCTTGAGATTATGCACGTCTTTTTCTTTTCTTCCTATGTTGAAAATTCTGGTTGCTATGGCAACACATAGACTGAAAATATGGCAAATTTTACACATAAACTGAATCCAGTGATAACTCAAAAAGTACTGGAAATATTTTTATGAAACTTGACATATGGGTAGATGGCAGTCTTGAGGTTATGCATGTCTTATCTGTTCTTCCTATTTTGAAAAAATATCAGTTGCCTTGGGAACAAATAGGCTTAAAACATGGCAAATATAACAATATTTGTGATTAGTCAAAAAGAGCTGAAAATTTTTATGAAATTGCATCTTTAATTCAAGAGTTATCTCCTGTTTAAGAATTTTGCTTTTAAAATGTTATATTTTGGTAACAGGGATGTTTCAAATATTAACTTTAGAGTGTCCTTCAGTCCGTCTGTCTGTCTGTCTGTTCATAAAAGCTGTTTCCTGTGATCACTTTTAAAGAACTTTTCCAACAAATTTACTTAAAATAGAGAAAAATTGAAACATTAGTGAATGGCCCTTCAGAATGTTGATGGGGTTCTAACCGGTAGGGGACTTATGGATTGCTTGCAATACTATGATAATTGCTTGTTTCATTTTATTCATACATGTACATGATTCATTTCAATATTAGATCTAACGTCTTTTTGAAAACAGCCTGAAACCATCATATATAATAGATTCATGGACCCTTAGAGTTAGAAAAAAAAGCCTGTTGTTACTAAGGTGTTGCCGTTAATGGTTGAGGTATAAGAATTGCAACCGTTTAACAGTGCATGATCTTAAGAGCAAACTTAAAAGGTTGGAATTTCTGGAGTCTATGTATCCATTAGCTCAAGCAGGTGAGGTGGTTTTGACCCGCTGGTGTTGCTTTCAAGTTTGTAAGGCACAAGGTCTTGCCAAAATAATCTTTCCTGTTTCAGCGACATATGACTTACACTGTGTTGGTGCACCGTGAAACTAAACAAACAGATAGTTTGAAAACAAAAAACATGCTTAAACTTTTTTTTTGATACATGAAAGCAGTTTCTTCTTTTATTTGATCTGAAGAAGGTTTTCACACCAGTATATCTCACTTTCTAATTAAAAGAAGCTTTAGAGGGTTTTGAGCATATATTCCCTCGGTTTCATTTGAACTAAACTTGCACAGAACTTTTGTCACAAGTTAGTCATGGATTCTGACTTTAAAGGTCTAATTTTCATCATGCTGTAAAATAGCCGAAATAAATGCCATAATGATTATAAATGTGAAATATTTAAAAGTCGTCTTCGGCCTATAGTTTTGACGTTTGGCATAAAGCCCCATTTAATGTTTTTTTCAACCAAATTTGTTTAAAAGTGGATTGGTCTAAAATATAAGGTTTGTCCAAACTTTGTTGTTCAATAAATAATTATGTTGATAGTATTTTGTATCAGACATAACAAACCACAAATTAATAACATATGGATGTTGTTTACAAGTTTGAAATACATATATGTTGTAAGATACAGCATTGACTGCTACCATCTCCTTCCTCAGGTGGGTGCCATATTCATTGGACGTTTCGGCGCTTCCCACTATGCCCTCCTTTGGTGCGCAGACTAGAGTGATATCAAGCTCTAGCCAGGAGATGGTAGGCTTCAGCTTTCCGTGCTTCATCTGTCTTGAAGGGAGTACTGCCTAACTATTGGTTTTTCGACCCTCCATCCATGGCTCTTCTTTCTTGCGCCAGATCCACAATGAGGCTTACTCTACTTCATGTGCTATGTTAGATATGGCTTTGTTGCGCACTTGTCCTGTCTTACCAATGCAACCAAATACTCGCCATAGTGATCCCACTGGTAAGCCCCTACTTGTTTGCTCGCTGAAGACCATAAAACAATATCTGGTCTTGGTTTGGTCACAGTTATCTCTTCCGGGAATTTCAGTTTCTTCTTCAGGTCAACCTCCATCTGCCAGTCCTTAGCAGTACTTTGAATCCCCTTTCTAGGATTTCCTGCTCGTCCACATTGACCTTCTGTCACAAAAGGAATGAATAGAACACCTTTTTCCTTATTTTTCTTAAAACCTCTTGCATGTTCCAATGGCTCTGCTATTGATGCCAGAACTCTGTCATGACGCCAAGTGTACCTCCCATTTTTGTGTCGCCTCTACGGAGTAGTGGCGACATATAGGGATCACTTCTCCGTCGTCTGTCTGTCCGTCTGTCTGTCTGTCCGTCACAAAACTTGTCCGGACTACTCCTCATAAACTACTGGTGCAATTTCATCCAAACTTTACAGGAATGATCAGTACCAAGTCTAGTTGTGCATATTATCAGCATTTTCCGGTTCAATGATTTTTGTCAGAGTTATGGCCCTTTAATAATTTTTATTTTTAAAGTTTGTCCTGACCACTTCTCTTATACCACTAATGCAATTTCAATGAAACTTTACAGGATTGATCTGTAGCTCAAGTCCTTGCGCATATTGCAAGGGTTTTCCGGTTGAATGATTTTTGGCCGAGTTATGGCCCTGTGATAAAAAGGTGTTTTTTTCTGTGTGTTGCCAGATACGCAAAAGCTTGTCCGGACTACTCCTCATTAAACACTGGTGCAATTTTATCCAAACTTTACAGGAATGATCAGTACCAGGTCCAGTTGTGCACTGTCCGTCTATATGTCCGTCTGTCACAAACTTTGTCCCAACATGAAATTGGCCATCATGAGGCGACACATGTGATTATTGATCGCTCTTGTTCAAGAAGGTGTTGCACGAGCTGAGTATATCTATATACCAGATAGAAAATTATTCAGGACCAAAATAGTATTATTCATCATATAAATGTTCATTCTAAATCTCTTCAACTTTATTAAAAGTTTTTTTTTTTCAAACAGTTGTTAATATTAATATCAGCATGATACATTTCAATTGTTTTTATCAATATTTGAAATACTTTCGGAAATGTGCCCATTGTAGACCAATCCACTTTAAATATTTAATACATGGTCACGGGATCACCAAATTTATTTTAATTTATATAGTGAAATTTTTAAAAAAATTTTTTAGTCATTATCCATAAAGACAAGAAGCTTTATATTTAACATGTAGCATAAAGATAGTGGTCCTCTATACAGTTTTTGCATGTACATATTTTTCACACTTTGGTCAAAATAAGACCTATCTAAAGCTCCAAAATCTTCGTCAAGAACTGCTGGGTAAACTAAAGCTATACTTAATATTTTGACATTAGGTACATTTGCATGTGAATATACATTAGCCTTGATTAAATATAGCCTTGACCTTTTGACCTACTTATGCATCTTTCAGACTTTAGCCTTCGAATTTAACACAAATAGAGTTTTATTTGTGGAATGATACTTGGAATTTTATGTGACCTTGAACTTAATCCCATGTTAACCTACTTTTGAAATTTTTGGCTTTTGCTCTTAAATTAAGTTTCTCTATATAGATTTGCATGCAGTATTGAACTGTGACCTTGGACAATCCAGTTTCCTATAACAATAAACATCAAGTGAGCAATCCGTGGCCATTATGGCTCTCTTGGTTACATAAAGTTCTTTGTTTGTTTCAGGTAGCAGAGTATTGCCCATCACTGCAGTCAAAGATTATAGTTGGGGAAGGACAAGTCAGGTAAGCAATGATTTCTTACTGACAGGTCATTTGACTGCTAGGAAAATGAAGGTTAGCTTGGTTTCATTTCAGTATACCTATAGTGTTATATGGTGTATTTAAGTCCTTTTTTAACTCCACATTTTGAAGGGGGAAAAATTGGAGGTATTACAGTGATCGTTTCGTTGGCATTGGCATTGGTTTACCTTCTCTGTAAGATCCATTTTCTCAGAAAGTATAAAAGCTATTCCACGGCATACATGGTTCTTGTCATAAAAGGAAACTACTGTATGTGTATTTAAATTCGCGGAAGCAAATTTTCGCAGAAAGATCCACTTTGGGGGTCTATACAAATATTTGCGCTATTTTGAATTCAGGGAGGTGACTGCCGAAAATCATAAATTTGCGTTGACCACTCAGGTTAAAAAATAAGGAAAGTTACTGTGATCATCACGGGAGTTGACAGTTATTTTCAATACCAGGTGTCACAACAATACGCTATTGTACAAAAAAAAGACATTGTCTAGCGGACAGATTATAACAAAACAAAAGAATGCCAGTTTACTTGCATAATTTTTTCACAGTTTGCGTCATACACGTCTTGACAACTGATCAGATCATGTTTTGTTTTTTTCTGAACAAACGATACAAAAAACACAAACATACACGATTTTAAATGATAAATAACTTAAAAAACAAACACAATTACTCAGTAAACATTTAGATAAAAGTGTGAAAGCATATCACACATTGATATACATTGTTCTATAGAAGCGCGAAAATATGACTATTAAGAAATTATTGGTGTAGAAATATTCGCTCTAAACATGAATTCGTGGATCGAATGTCACCGTGGAGATCGCAAAAAATTGAAGCCCGCGAATATTTCTACACATACAGTATTTCAAAAGGGCAGATGATCCTAATATTAGTCTTGGCAAAGTAATGCCCTTTGATCATCTTAGAGTTTTAGCCCTGGTTCAACTTTTTGTTAAGATCCATTTTCTCAGAAACTATGAAAACTATTCACATCAAACATAGCTTCATTTCAGAAGGGCAGATAAAATTCATTTTTGCAATGGTATATCCTTTTCTTTTTTTTTGTTTGTTTCTAGGGTCAATTCATCAAAAAATGTCAAAGTAAATCACTTAAAGACCAAGTTTGTTCAAATTAATGCCCTGGGGTCAAAATTGGCCCTGCTCCAGGGGGTCATTGTTTTTCCCTTTATGTATATAGTAAAAACTTGTTCTTTAAAAACCCCAAAGAGCTAGATTTAAAAATCTTCTTATAAAAAACTCAAAGAGCTAGAGTGTAGATACTAAGCATGAAATATCTTTTAGTGAGTGTCTACCAAGTTTGTTAAAAAAAAAGCCCTTGGCTCAAAATTGGCCTCTCCCATTGGGAAGGGGGAGGGGGTCATTATATATGTATATAGTAAAAACTTAAAAATCTTCTTAATAAAAAATCCCAAAGAGCTAGAGCGAGATATTGATCATGAAACATTTCCTAATGGGTGTTCTACCAAGTTTGTTTTCAAACAAATGCCCCTGGTTTAAAATTGGCCTTGGCCCAGGGGGGCCTATTTACAGGTGAGTAATTTCAGGGCCATCATGACCATCTTATTTTTAAATATCCAGTACAGATAAGTCTATTCGCAGATAGGTCTTGTTTGTTTTTTGTGGTGGTTGTTTTTTTTGCTTATGTAACTTAGGAACTGTCTAGGGAGATGTTGTTATTCATCATACACACGCACAAGTCACAACCATGTATGTAACATGTTTACATAATTATTCATTTTTTTGTCTCAATTTGCAGATAAGTGGTAATGTTTCAGTCATACTTACCTTAAATTTTGATGTAATTACTATACTTAAGTTACAATTAACTATTTGGAAAAAGTACTTACGTGTTATCATTTGCAAAATAATTGAAAGATAATTGCACCTTAAAACGCAATGTTGCTCAATTATTTGAGGAATATTTCCCCAAGTATTATCTCCTCTATCATTTTGTGTTGTGTATTTTTCATAATTACCTGATAAATAGATAAATACATACATGTATATACTATGTTGCTGAAGGGAGAAGTTTTCTAAATGAGCCGTGTCACGACAAAACCAACATAATGGGTTTTCGACCAGCATGGATCCAGACCAGCCTGCGCATCTGCGCAGTCTGATCAGGATCCATGCTCTTTGCTTACCAACCCTATTACAAATAGAGAAACTGATAGCGAACAGCATGGATCCTGATCAGACTGTACAAATGCGCAGGCTGGTCTGGATCCATGCTGGTCGCAAACACATTATGTTGGTTTTGACGTGTCGCGGCTCATATATTCTTTTTATTGAAATGATTTTCATATAGGATGCTTAAGAACTACTATATACATGCAGTATATTTCATGATATGTATTTTTATTTTCAGATCTGGATGGCAGAATTATGAAGAACTGGTCAGAAAAAGCACAGACAACTTTCAGGTAAGTTCTTACAAAGGTGTAATAATGCAGAAATATATTCAAGCCTCATAAATGTTTCTTCACAGTTTCTTTTTATTGGTAACATATTGTGTCATTATTACAATCTCGAATTGCAATAACCTGTGTACAGTGACCATTCATGAAAAATGTGAATGGAAGTCTCTATTGAGAAGTGGTCTCACAAAAAGAGTAGTTTTCATACGAAGAAAACTGAAATGCTGGTCTTTGATGATAGGTTTATAGCTTGGGAGATGAGGAGAGCTGTTGTAACTCACCCAAGAATTTGGCACAAATTTTAAGCATGTTAAGACGATAATGGATTTTAAGAAATATTTTATTCTTTAAAAATCTGGCTGAACTTGAGTTATTTCATAGGTCTTGCTCCATGTACTTTGATATGGAAATTTGGCCAGTACCAAAAATGATTATTATGTAATGCGCGACACGCTATACCAAAAAAAGATAAAAGCATATTGTTTTCCAATAAGTTATAAGGGTCACAGGTATGATTGATTGATTGTTCAGGCTAAGAGCATGCAGGATGTCAAATTATGCTGCCCACTAATTAGCATATAGTTGTTTAATAGACATTATGTAAATGCCAAGTCATTTTCAGATGGTTTTGTAAACTTATAAGTGATATACAATGGGTTTTTTTTTATGTTTTTCGTTTGTCACAAAATCTTTGGCTGACATTTTTAGCTCGACTATACGAAGTATATGGAGAGCTGTCCTACTCGCCCCGGCGTCGGTGTCCGCGTCCAGATTTCAGATTAAAGTTTTGGTGCAGTAAAATATTTTCACTATAACTTTGTCATTTCTTAAGGTATCAACTTCAAACTTCAAACATATGTTCCTTATCATCATCCCCATCTTATGTGACAAGGTTCATAACTCTAGCACCAATATTTTTTATATTTATCTCCCCTTGAACTTAGAATTTTTCTCAAAAAATACTATTTTTTACTGTAACTTCTTTATTTTTTAGGGGATCAACTTCATACTTCAAATATATGTACCTTATCATCATCCCCATCTTATGAGACAAGGTTCATAACTCTAGCACCAATATTTTCAGATTTATCTCCCCTTGAACTTAGAATTTTCCTAAAAAAATACTATTTTTTACTGTTACTTCTTTATTTCTTAAGGGATGAACCTCATACTTCAAATATATGTACCTTATCATCATCTACATCTTATGTGACAAGGTTCATAACTCTAGCACCAATATTGCAAGAATTATCTGTCCATAAACTTAGATTTTTTTTACTAGAAAAATGTTATTTTTTACAATAACTTTTTTTAGTTTTAAAGGTATCTACCTCAAATTTCAAATACTTATTCCTTATAATCAATTACATTTTATGTGACAATGTTCATAACTCTTGAAGCAATATTTACAGATTTATCTCTCTTTGAACTTAGGATTTTCTTTAAGAAATATTATAACTTCTTTACTTTTTAAGGTATCTACTTTAAACTTCAAATATATATTTCTTATCATTACACACATGTTGTGTGACAAGGTTCATAACTCTAGCGTGACTATTTCTATAATTATTCTCCTTGATCTTAGAATTCATGTAAACAAATGTTATTTTTTTACTATAACTTAATACATAATTATACATAATTGATTTTTCTGTCATAGTTTTGTCCTCCATACTGCGTCCAGTATTTTATTAGTCGAGCTTCGCTGTCTCCTGTGACAGCTCTTGTTGTATTTTATGTAATTCACCTAGCATAAATGTGTGTAGAGGCTTTAATAATATAACTCTGTTAAGCTAGAATCTAGAATACTACAAAGTCATTATAATTCTTTGAACCCTAATTTCTGAAGTTTTTTTGTTTGTTTTTCGATAATTTAAGATCCAACAGAGTTTCATCCTGTCTGCTGTAAAATTATTTTGCATTTACATTACTTGCATTTTGATTTTTGCAAGAACACACAATCTGCCAATTTTTAGAATCCTGGACAGTGTCCTTTGTGTCGACAAACCTCGAAATTCATTCATGCTCATGAAATTAATTGAATTCACAGAACATGTATTTATATATTTCAGTGTGTAAATTCAAAATCAGATGATCCTATGACTGTATTTTTTACGAGCGGGACAACCGGTGCTCCGAAGATGACGGAACATTCACACAGTAGCTATGGTCTCGGACATCTAATTACTGCAAGGTTAAAATACAGCATTTTACCTTTGAATTGGTAGCAGTACTAATGATTAGTCTATGTTAAGAGAGAGAAGATCTGATGGTGAAAGTGTCTGCCTTTAACCCTTGACTTCTGAAAATGAAGTCCTATTTGATCAAAAGCATCTTGCATTAGGATACCAGTGCTGTCATGATAGTCCCAAGAAACAGACTTGACAATGGTTCAAATATCACATATGCTTCAAGTTGTTATCTAAATTTCTCGAGTTATAATGAACATGTTTAACTCTGAGCCTGCAGGCGAAAACAATTCTACCCATGCAACCAGTTCAGACCAAGATCTGTGTGCATCTCAGTTCTGTCTGTTCATGGTCTGCACTCTTCGCTTTTCAATCAGTACTAATGTTCAGTGCTGTCTGTTCATAGTCCACATTGTTCGCTATTCAATCAGTATCAATTTTAATATTTTCCCCAAAAATTGATGAATGGTTTTGTTTGAATTGATAGATGGACAAGTCAGTTTAATATACATGGTATTTAGCAAGGTTAGAATTAGACCTGGCTCTATTCTGTTGTCTGTTATTTTAAAGTTCTTTTATGGTTCCCTAAGTCTTAAGAAACCTTCGGACAAAAGTAAAGTGACTGGTTTGTCCTTTCACCCATCATTGGCTTCATTATCGTCTATTATAATGCTTTCATTTATATTATTTCTGGTTTTAGATATTTCCTTGAACTTTCAACAAATGATGTACTGTGGAATTTGTCAGACACAGGCTGGGCTAAATGTGCCTGGAGCAGCCTGTTTTCTCCCTGGATTGCTGGTGCCTGCGTGTTTGTACAGGACTCACCCAAGTTTGATCCCCAGCAGGCACTTCAGGTAATTTTTAGCTCGACTTTTTCGAAAAAAATTTGAGGTATTGCAACAGTCATGTTGTCCCTTCCTATTGCCATAAAAAACTTTAACATTTGCAATTATGTTTTTATTTCTTAACGAATTGTCTTTATACTTTGACTCAACAACTTTATTGACACAACTTTTAAGTATACCAGAATGAACTGGACCTTGACTAACAGATGGACCTTGACCTTCAAGGTCAAGTGCTTGAAATTTTTCTTGATTTTTGCTATAATTTGCTAAAACTTTGTTATTTATAAATGGATTGTCTTATACTTGAACACAATAATTCTTCAATGACCTTGACCTTGAAAGTCAATTTAATGAATTTTGTTCGATTTTGTTATAATTGGCTATAACTTTCTTACCGATGTATGGATTATCTTCATAATGATAATCCTTTGGACAAGGCCTTTATGTAGATCAAATTAATTCTGACCTTCACTCATCAATGACCTGGAACTTGTAGGTCAAGTTATTGTAATTTCACAGTTTTTTTTGCGATAATTGGCTATAACTTTGTATAATAATGAATGTGTTGACTTCAACAATCCTTGAGACAAGACATTAAAGAAGATTTAATTACTTTACCTTAATTTGACCTTGACACTTCAGGACATTAGGTCAAATTAGTGAATTTGTTTCATTTGGCCATAGATTTGTTATTTAGCACATGACAAAACCAACATGATTAGCTCAAATGTGATCTTGACCTTTCATTGACCTTAACCTAAATACTTTTCAATTCTCACAAAGGCGATCCTGAATGTATTCTCCAAAAACAAAAATCAATATTATTTTCATAGATAATAGTTATATTCAAGAAAATTACCTGTTTTTGTGCAGAATTATGATGAAAATACTGCAGAATGGGTCATAAATGGCACATAATGTGGAAATTATTCCTTTTATCTTGAATCTTTTTACTTTTATTTAAAATCTCGGATTTTGGCAATTATTTATGTCTGTCTTTATAATTATATATTACCTCTAAAGATAATTGATATTGATTTGCCTTTACCTTGAAGCCACAAATGCCTCCTGAAATAATGTATTATCCTTCAACAGAGAAATGAAATTGGTTTTGTTTTGAGGAGACTGAAAATATTATCTAAGTATACTTGTTGAATGAAACAGATGCAAATAAAATTTTCTCCACTCTTGAAAGTCTTGAAAGTTTTGTTATACAATTCATTTACAAAGATTTTTGACAGGTTATGTGGGTCAGTTAAAATGGTTATAAGCATATATGACCCAAACTGCTAGGCGAATGTAACATTGCAACCAAACATTAAACAAGATCATATAACCCAATGAAAATCTTTGATTGTATTGTTTAATTCAATAACTTATATTTGAACAAGGTATTAAGGGCTGCAGCTTCTAGATAAGTAAGAGTTATTCAAACATATTCTGTTTACAAACCAGAATAAAAAAAATTACAGGAAGAGACTGAAAATATTTTTTCAAGATTTTTGTATAAATGGATGTAGGTTTTGACCAATAACTCATGTACAAACTTTCTGATCATTCGCTCACTCATTTTCTCAGGAGTAATCAATTTTATTGTGCAAATTAACATAAAAAATGAATAGTTTTATCTCAAATTGTACAGAAAAACTCATAAAACTTGATTATCAATTTAATACTGGGTATGTTTATATATTATCCATTGCATAGTTGATTTTTGAAAGAATTTCAAATCTAAAGATTTTAGGCTATTGGACCTCAATTGATTTCCTTCAAGTCTTCACAAGCTAAGATTTAACACTGAATATACCAATATATCAACAACCAAAAAGTTTGCCTTCCAAATTTATGTACTTTTCTATGGATTTATTTTACTCATCTTAAAATTCCTATATAAAAGAACTTTTGAATTTATTACATTATGCTTTACAGAAATTGTTGAGAGGGATTAATTAGAGGGATGTGTTTAAGCATGGGGAAACAGTATGAGTTTTACCTTAGAGAGAATGCTATGTTTTTGGTTTCTAACTAACTCTTAACTTTAATTCCAAAAGAAAAACTTATATTGCATTTGAAAAAAAATATTGCATTTGAAAAAGAATAAAAAGAGGAGAAATATCTTCTCCTAACTTTAATATATTTCGAAATTATCAGAAACCAGGAACATTCATTTTAAATTATGTGTTATTTTATGCCAATATTATAGTAACTTTGTAGGCTTTTCATTAATTTTATTACATGATTTATATGTATATTTTTTTTTAAACTTAACGTTCTTCATTATATTATTAATATTTTATATGTAACATTGTATTTTCCGAATGTTTTAAGACATTGAACAGGTATCCAGTCAGTCATTTTTGTGCACCACCAACAGCTGTAAGATTTTTTGTGAAGTCTGACATGAGCCAGTTCCATTCAACAACTCTACGTCACTGTCTGAGTGCCGGAGAACCAGTGGTATACACATGACACTCTTTGTGTAGGATATATTTGTATATAACTAGAACTCTTGTTGTACCCAGGCCATGTGCTTTCACAGAATATGTGTTGTTTTGTTCTTGCTCTAAATCACTGATGACACAATGGAAAAATTCCAAGATTTTTTTTTTTTTTTTTTTTTTTTGGATAAAGACTTTTGTTATATCTCATTATATTGTCTAAGTCATAGACAGCTTTTTAGCTCACCTGTCACAAAGTGACATGGTGAGCTTTTGTGATCGTTTTTCGTCTGGCCCTCCTTCCTTCTGGTGTCTGTAAACTTTTACTTTAAACGACATCTCCTCATAAACCACTGAGCCAATTTCATCCAAACTTCACAGGAATGTTCCTTTGGTGGTCATCTTTAAAAATTGTTCAAAGTATTTAAGTCCATGCAGAACTCTGGTTGCCATAGCAAACAAAAGAAAAACTTAAAAATCTTCTTATAAAAAAACTAAAAGAGCTAGAGCTTAGGTATTTGGCATGAAACATCTTCCAGTGAGTCTTCTCTACCAATTGTTTGTTAGAAAAAAGCCCTGGGTCAAAATAGCTAGAGCTTAGATATTAAGCATGAAACATCTTCTGTTGAATTTCTACAAAGTTTATACAAATAAAAGCCCCAGTATCAAAATAGGCCCGCCCCGGGGGTACTGATTTTCCTTAAATGTCTATAACAAAACTTAAAAAAATCTGCTTTTAAATAACCCATAGAGCTAGAGCTTCGATATTAAGCATGAAACATGTTTTAGTGAGTTTCAACAAAATTTGTTCAAATTAAAGCCCAAGGGTTATATTGGCCCAACCCCTGAAGTCTGATTTTCCTTAAATGTCTATAATAAAAACTTAAAAAATCTTCATAAAAAAACAAACAACAAAGAGCAAGAGCTTAGATATTAAGCATGAAACATCAAAGTTAGCCCTGCCCCAGGGGGTCATTGATTTTCTGACCTGACTCTGCTTCAATCTTGCCATTCTGGACATTCTTTAAAATTTTTCTTCCCATTTTTTCTCTATTCTTTATTGGTAAGAATCCTGTCAGAGACTTTGGATTCTTTCTTTTAAGGAAGCTGTCCAGCTAGCTTACATTCGGTTGTCCTTTGATGCAAGGAATAATGTACAAATAGGTACCTGAGATCTGTCTCCACCATGAAAGTTGCCATAAGTTATGTACAGTGTCGGTATGAAATAAAAACCAAAATTTAGTTGTTAATGAATGTAGAGCCATCATTTGATAAGCTGGCATAAAATTCTGTAAAAGCACATGCTTGTTAAAACTGAGTCACAACATACTGTCCACCAACATTAACTAACATTTAGTTTCCTAATATGTTTGTGTTTGATTATTCATATATTTACAGATTCTACTTACCAAACCTATATCAAAATTCTGTGCCCCACCCACTGCTGTGAGGTTCCTTCAAGTAGAACCAAATTTTTCAGAGATTAGAAAGCAAAAGTGTCTTAATCACTGTGTATCCGGGGGAGAACCAGTGGTGAGAATGTAAAAAAAAAATAGTCCAGAAATGTATGTACATATTGCTTTTGCTTGTACCCTAAAATGTTAAGCTGGCATTAGATCTTACTTCACATAAAAACAAAGGGGAGTGGGGGCATAGTAGTAACACTGTCTGCCTCTGCTGGTGATTGGTATCACTTAATTGTCTCGTTAAAAATGATGCTTTACTTTATGTTTGATCAAGGAAAAGTTTTGTAGCCTTGCTTGCTTTTTAATACCCTTATATATGAATCTTTTTGTACTAGATAAAAAAAAGTGCTGTTCTAAAACCTGGGCATAAGTGATTTTATCTTTTGATCATTATCTAAAGTATATACTAGTACCTATCCTGTTCTGTCATAATCTGTTCTATCCTTGGCTATCCTGGTTTGACCAAGTCTGTCCTGTATTGACCTAGTATGTTCTGTCCCTTGTATGATATGTGCTGTCCTAGTGTATCCTCTCCAGGTCTTTTTTGTTTTGCATGTGTATGCTGTCATAGTCTATCTTGTAAATACTTAGTCTATCCTGTTGTAGTCTATCCTGTTCTGCCTAGTCTATCCTGTCCAAGTGTATTCTGTTCTGCCTAGTATATCCTGTCCTTATCTATCCTGTTCTGCCTAGTCTTTCCTGTTCTGTTTAGTCTTTCCTGTTCTGCCTAGTCTTTCCTGTCCTAGTCTATCCAGTTCTGCTTAGTCTATCCTGTCCTAGTCTATCCAGTTCTGCCTAGTCTATCCTGTCCTAGTCTATCCTGTTCTGCTTAGTCTATCTTGTCCTAGTGTATCCTGTTCTGCCTAGTCTATCCTGTCCTAGTCTATCCTGTAGTGTCTAGTCTTTCCTGTTCTGTCTTGTCTATCCTGTTCTGCCTAGTCTATCCTGTTCTGCCTAGTTTATCCTGTTCTGTCCTAGTCTATCCTGTTCTGCCTAGTCTATTCTGTTCTAGTCATCCTGTTCTACCTTGTTTATCCTATCCCGTTCTGCTTAGTCTATCCTATCCTAGTCTACTGTGTGTGTATTTGAATTGGGGGAAACAAATTTTTGTGGAAAGGTCCATTTTGGAGGTCTCTACAAATATTTGCGCTATTTAAAATTCATGGAGGATACTACCGAAAATAATAAATTTGCGTAGACTGCCCAGGTTAAAAAATAAGGGAATTAATACTCTTAGATTTTGGAAAGGTGTAAAATACAGAAGAATGCAGACGATGTTACGAATCAAAAATAAAATGTCTAGCATTGAGTACTAGTTATTATTTTGGTGGGAGTTCACAGTTATTTTCAATACCTGGTGTCCAACAATACGCTATTGTACAGAACATAGACATTGTCTAGCGAGGGGACAGATTATGTCAAACAAAAGAATGCTGCCTGTAAACTTGCATGATTTTTCACAGTTTAACAAAGTTTTACACTGCACTGAATGTACAATACCATTGCATCAAGCTTATTGTTTCATAGTCTGCGTCATAAACGTCTTGACATCTGATCAGATCATATTTTGTTTTTCTATACAAATAATACCAACAACACAAACATAAATGATTTTACCTGTTGAATAACATGGAAAACAAAAACATAATTACTCAGTGAACATTTTGATAAAACCGCATGTATTGAAAGCATACAACACACTGATTACATTGTTCTATAGAAGCGTGAAAATATGATTAGTAAGAAAATATTGGTGTAGAAATATTCGCTCTAAACAGTATTCTATTTAATATTTATTTATCATGTCTGAGTCATTCCTCTCCTGTCCTAGTCTGTCCTGGTCGGTCTGGTTTTAATTAGTCTTTCCTTTATAGTCTATCATGCTCTGTCCTAGTCTTTCCTGTCCTAACCTATCCTGTCCTAGTCTATCCTGTACCTGTCTATCATGTCCTAGTCTATCCTATACCCATCTATCCTGTCCTAATATATCCTGTCCTAGTCTATCTTGTCCTAGTCTTTCATGTCCTAATCTATTCTGTCCTAGTCTATACTGACCTAGTATATCATGTACCCATCTTTCCTATCCTAGTCTATCCTGTCCTAGTCTCATGTCTAAGTCTTTCCTGTCCTAATCTATCCTGCCCTAGTATATCCTGTCCTAATCTATCCAGTCCTAATCTATTCTGTCCTTGTCTATTCTGTCCTATTCTATCCTGTCCTCCTTTCCTGTCTTAATCTATCCTATCCTAGTCTATCCTGTTCTGGTCTACCTAGTCTACTCTGTCCTAGTCTTTCCTGTACTAGTCTATCCTGTTTTACCCTATTGTCTAGCCTGTCATGTCTTGAGCTATCCTGTTTATGTCTGTCCTGTTCTCTCCTAGTATGTCCTGGTTTGTCTGGTTCATTTAGACTATTCTTTCTAGTATATCATGCTCTGTAATAGTCTATCCTGTCATAGTCTATTCTGTTCTATTCTAATCTAGCCTATTTAAGTCTATCCCCTTTGGAACAAGTCTACCCTCTTCTGTACTTGCTTATCCTATTCTATTATCTTATCCTATCCTTTAAATGAATTGCCAGCTTGCATGTACAATTTGTCGCCCACCTACATAAAGTGTGGTTTCTTTTGTAAGTAAGATGTTTTATACAAGTGAAATTTGTTTAAGTAACAATAACTCCTTACCTTACAATCTTATTTCCAACACAAAAACCTTGATCCCAGCAAGTTACATACTAGTAACTTTGGTTTCTATTTGCCTTATTTATCTTCTCATGTGCACTTTAAACATAGGAATTTCTGCTAGTTGCATGCATTTCAACTTCAGCAATAGCAATGTATGGCCAAAAGGGGTAATTGTGTTCTTGCTCTTACTACAAAATTAATAATCCGTGAAAGAAACTAACATGAAAAATGTGAAGTGAAACTAACATGATTTCTGTAAAAAGGAACAAGCATGCTTATTTATAAGGGAAATAAAGGAACCAGCATTTTAAATTTACTGGGTAACCAGCTTAGTTGCTGTAAAGGAACCAGCTGTATTAGGCTTATAGGAAAGCACCTGCATAACCTAATTTGGAAACCAGAATAGTTGTCCTATTGGAACCAGCTTAATTACAGTATTCGTTGATATAAGTGGGAAACAGCATGTAAATTATATTAGAAAATGAACATTTAAAAAATGGGGAACATCAAAAATATATTTTTAATAACCTGTTTGTGTTTGCATGACATTGTGCTTTCTCAATCTATCTGCATTTTAATTGGAAATTCAATTTTAAGCTCACCTGACCACGAAGAGGTCAAGGTGAGGTATAGTGATGGGGCTATGACCGGCGTCGTGCATAGTGCGTCGTCAACAATTGGGTTGTTAACAGTCTAGCAGTCACAGTTTTTTTGGATCATTGTCAAACTTTGTCAGAATGTTTGTCTCAATGAAACACAGATCAAGTTCAAAGATGGGTTATCTCAAGTCAAAAACTAGGTCACAGGAAATAAAAATAAAAAGAGTTGTTAACACTCTAGTGGCTGCAGTTTTGATCCAAATATTATGGAAATTTGTCAGGAAGGTTGTTTTGATGATTTCTAGGTCAAGTTTAAAGAAGGGTCATGTCCGGTCAAAAACTAGGTCACAAGAGCTAAAAATAGAAAAAGCTTGTTAACACTCTAGTGGCTGCAGCTTTGATCCAAATATTCTGGAAATTTGTCAGGAAGGTTGTTTTGATGAATTCTAGGTCAAGTTCGACGATGGGTCATCTTCGGTCAAAAACTAGGTCACAGGATCTAAAAATAGAAAAAGCTTGTTAACACTCTAGTGGCTGCAGTTTTGATCCAAATATTCTGGAAATTTGTCAGGAAGGTTATTGTGATGATTTCTAGGTCAAGTGTAAAGATGGGTCATCTCCAGTCTAAAACTACGTCACAGGAGCTAAAAATAGAAAAAGCTTGTTAACACTCTAGTGGCTGCAGTTTTGATCCAAATATTCTGAAAATTTGTCAGGAAGGTTATTATGATGATTGCTAGGTCAAGTGTAAAGATGGGTCATCTCTGGTCAAAAACTAGGTCACAGGAGCTAAAAATCAAAAATGTTTGTTAACACATTAGTGGCTGCAGTTTTGATCTAAATATTCTAGAAATTTGTCAGGAAGGTTGTTTTGATGACTTCTAGGTCAAGTTCAAAGATGGGTTATCTACGGTCAAAAACTAGGTCACAGGAGCTAAAAATAGAAAAAGCTTGTTAACACTCTAGTGACTGCAGTTTTGATCCAGATATGCTTGAAATTTGTCAGAAAGGTTGTTTTGATGATTTCTAGGTCAAGTTCAAAGATGTGTCATCTCTGGTCAAAAACTAAGTCACAGGAGCTAAAAATAGAAAAAGCTTGTTAACACTCTAGTGGCTGCAGTTTTGATCCAAATATTCTGGAAATTTGTCAGCAAGGTTGTTTTGATGATTTCTAGGCCAAGTTAGATGATGGGTCATCTTTGGTCAAAAACTAGGTCACAGGAACTAAAAATAGAAAAAGCTTGTTAACACTCAAGTGGCTGCTGTTTTGATCCAAATATTCTGGAAATTTGTCAGCAAGGTTGTTTTGATGATTTTCTAGGTCAAGTTCAAAGATGGGTTATATCCTATCAAAAACTAGTTCACAGGAGCTAAAAATAGAAAAAGCTTGTTAACACTCTAGTGGCTGCAGTTTTGATCCAAATATTCTGGAAATTTGTCAGGAAGGTTGTTTTGATGATTTCTATGTCAAGTGTAAAGATGAGACATCTCCGGTCAAAAACTAGGTCACAGGAGCTAGAAATAGAAAAAGCTTGTTAACACTCAAGTGGCTGCAGTTTTGATCCAAATATACTGGAAATTTGTCAGAAAGTTTGTTTTGATGATTTCTAGGTCAAGTTTGAAGATGGGTCATCCCTGGTCAAAAACTAGGTCACAGAAGCTAAAACTAGAAAAATCTATTTAACACTCCAGTGGCTGCAGTTTTGATCCAAATATCCTGCAAATTTGTCAGCAAGGTTGTTTTGATGATTTCTAGGTCAAGTTTGAATATGGGTCGTCTCCAGTCAAAAATTAAGTCACATTGCCCAAATATGGAAAACCTTTTTAACACACTAGAGGTCACATTGTTGACTTAATTGTCATCAAACTTGGCCAGGGTGCTTGTCTAAGACATTGCTTTGATGTGGTTGATGGGTCAGGGGAGCGATCCAGGGCCATCATAGCCCTCTTGTTTATTTATTTTTTTACCTTAGTACTCTAATTCCATACATTTTTTTGCAAAAATAAAAGAAATCTTAATAGGTACTTTTTACTATTTTACTAAGAAAGAAAATTCCTATAAAAATTGATTTTTTTTATTCCTGTTAAAATTGCTTTTTACAATTTTAGACATTGAATTTGTTGAGGAATAATTATGATTACAATAAATCTTTGTTCTTGCATTCTAAGCTCATCAGAGCAAAAATCTTCTGTGATAGCCTGTCATTTTCTATCATTTCTTAAATGCTTAACCTGCTGAATTTATGTAATGGCTTTGCCCAGCTTAAAAATTGGAACAGTCAATTTAAATCTGAAGGGATTTTTCTTATCAAAATAGAATAATTGAGCTACCGACAATAAACAGCCTGGTTAGAGTGCACAGATGGTTTATCACTTATGGTTCAAGCAGAGTATGGTTTAGTTTAAGCATTTTCATATGCTAAACCCTCATTTTACCAGTGGACAGTTCCAAATTCAAAGCAGGACAAGTTCATTATGCTTATTTAGGTAATTATAACAGAACAGTTGATTTATTTCAGAATCCTGAGCTACTGGAAGAATGGGAAGAAGGAACTGGTCTAAAATTATACGAGGGATATGGACAAACAGAAACAGTGAGTAAAGATTTTTTTTCTTTCAAATTTTTATTTTCCATCTTGCATCAAGTTATATTTATTTAGATTGATAACTCTAGTTTAAACCCTAATCCTGCTGAATTTCTGAAATGGACTTGCCCAGTTTCCATTTTGGGACTGTCCATTATCAATTTTGGGGATATCAAGTAGAAAATTAAAAGTTTGCAGCATACTTCATACTTAAGCCAAGTGTAAATACTCACCCTAAGTTTTAACTAAGGTGAATGACTATTTTTCAAGATAAAGGCAGAAATATTCAAACTGTCAAATCAACCATCGTATTGTGGACTGTACCACTGCTTTTTGAAAGAAGAAACTTATGAGATTCTTTGAAATAGAAATCAGTAAATGTAGTGAAAATTTAGAAGGCAAATATGATATAATAATATATATGTTCTCATCTCATATATTATATAGACATTTCTGTGTGGCACATATAAAGGTATAGAGCAGAGACCAGGATCTATGGGTAAAGCTGCACCAGGTTATGAGCTTCAGGTAATATTATATATATAGAGGATATTGAATGAGTGTAAGTTCAATACTGAATTTATTGCACATGTTGAATAAAATTATATTATGCTAGCCTCTGGCGAGCATAATATTATTTTATTCAACGAGTGCAATAAATTCAGTAATGAACTTACATAAATTTAATATTCTATTTATCACATACCCAAAATAAAGACCATTTAAAGTGAAATAAGAGTCATTTTTTATTGACGTGCCTATAGTATAACGCTAACATTTAGCGTGTCTTTACACTGTGTTTGTATAACGCTGATGATGTCACGTCAAAATATATGCACGGCCGTGCAATACCATATTTACGGAGTCGCAAAATCGGCATGGGTGTGTGATAAACTGTATTATGAGTAACTTAAAAAAATTATTTTATTTTCCTCCTATTAAAGTATATATTGTTACACCTTGACTTTCCTTCTGTTGTTCAGTCATGTTTAATTTAGCATTTCTATTACTAGCATCTTTGATGTTAAATTTTAAGTTTTTTTCTTAAATATTGTCAGCCAAGAGCAATACAGTTATTCATTGATTGCTAGAATGTGCTTGTGGATAAAGAGACTTTGTCATGATTTATAGGTGAAGATAGGTGAACTGCTGATACTGGCCTGTTGATACTAAACTGTCTTGATAGCATTGGACTGTATCTAAGGATTTCACTGTAAGATGCCATAAGCTTTAAAGGAAAATATAAAATGCATTTCATCCTAAGTATGCACTTGTTGAAAAATATTATGATTGCTCCCCCATCCCTTTTCAAACTTGTGTGCATTACAAAATATATAGAAAAAGCAAGCAAAGTTTATTTATGGGAGACTGTGCAATCAAAATGATGAAAGTTTGATGTGATGTCTATTGTAGATAGTTAATGATGAGGGTAAAGTATTACCAAGGGGGAAAGAGGGCAACATTGGAATCTTGTGTAAACCTGAAAAACCTTGTGGACTTTTTACAAAATATATTGTAAGTACTGAATAAGATTTATTTATATTGTATATTTACACAGAAAGTTGAATAAATTTTTAAACACAAGATTTTGTCTTGCATATTTTTAACTTTATTCTGTAATATTAAAAAAAATGTTTTTGAAGAAGCATAGGTTGTGATTGTTTTGTTTATGTTTAAAATGATGGAATTCTAATTCCTGCCTCCTAATAATGTTCGAAGTTCCATGAATTAAACTCACAAAACAGATTGCTAAAGTCAAATGTTATATAGAACTTCTTCAGCTGTCCCAAGTTTTATTATAATGTTGGTGTCTGCTTATGCCTAAAATAATGCACAGGGGAACCTTAGGCCTTCCTCTACAAGTTTAGCTGGAAACTCACCATATGACCTGAACATTGTTGTTGTGCAATGAATTTTAATATGATAACTTAAATTTTTAATTTTTTGGCAAGAATTTATCCTTAAGTCATGTTTGAGATTGATCAGATTGTGCTGCCATCTACTGGACAAAAGTTAAGTCATTTTGCCACCAAAGGCAAAACTGTAGCTTGCATGTATCCTCACTTTGTGTCAGAGCTTATTAGTTTATGTCAGTAACTTATTGGCAAATACCTGAAACATCATTTTCTTCTGTTACTGTTTGACCTTTAGTATATTTAAAGCAATTTAGTATTTTGTATAGAAGTGAAAATACTACTTTGTTTACGTTATGCTACCTTTATGACAAATCTATTTCACATTTAGCATTACTTTCTTCAGGTTACATGCATCTGCTCCAATACCATTATTCTAACATTATGAAATTAATGTTTGCTTTTTATACAATGTAAAAATTGTGCTTGTTTCTGAAGCATAATGTGCCTTTAAGTTCACAGAGACATTAATGAATAGTTGTCAAGAGCTTGCATCTCTATAAACAAAAACAAGGTCCTTTCTAGAGTGACTCTCTTTTTCTGTGATAAACATATATTATAAATTGTATATACTAGGATGATGAAGAGAGGATGCGGAGTGTGTTTGTCGGAGATTATTACCTGACTGGAGATCGTGCCTACATGGATGATGACGACTATGTGTGGTTTGTAGGTCGCGCTGATGACGTCATAATCTCATCTGGGTAAGTCATATATCAGTAATCAATATTTGCAATGTGAATATTTCTAATACAACTTTGTTAATGACAGCTAATGACAGTGACTTTTCATCTTATATAACTGAGGCCTATAAAAGACTTCTTCCTAATGGAAATTTTCTTTAAAATCATGCAGTTTTCCCAAAAATTTGAACTTACAGATTTATTACTTCCTAAATTAGCAGTTTTAGTTATAATTTTCCCAAAATCAAGAGGCTTTGGCCTTTTCTAAATAAGGTGAGAAAAGCCTGTCTACAATCAGCAAGGGCGTTCATTATAGAGAATATATTAACTCTTAAACCTGCTTAAGTGATGGGTTTGCCCATTTTTAGCTCGACTATACGAAGTATATGGAGAGCTGTCCTACTCGCCCCGGCGTCGGCGTCCGCGTCCAGATTTCAGATTAAAGTTTTGGTGCAGTAAAATATTTTTCACTACAACTTTGTCATTTCTTAAGGTATCAACTTCAAACTTCAAATTTATGTTCCTTATCATCAACCACATCTTATGTGACAAGGTTCATAACTCTAGCTCCAATATTTTCAGATTTATCTCCCCCTGAACTTAGAATTTTCCTTAAAAAATACTATTTTTTACTGTAACTTCTTTATTTCTTAAGGGATCAACCTCATACTTCAAATATATGTACCTTATAATCATCCCCATCTTATGTGACAAGGTTCATAACTCTAGCACCAATATTTTCAGATTTATCTCCCCTTGAACTTAGAATTTTCCTTAAAAAATACTATTTTTTACTGTTACTTCTTTATTTCTTAAGGGATCAACCTCATACTTCAAATATATGTACCTTATCATCATCCTCATCTTATGTGACAAGGTTCATAACTTTAGCACCAATATTTTTAGATTCATCTCCCCTTGAACTTAGAATTTTCTTTAAAAATATTATTTTTTACTGTAACTTATTTATTTCTCAAGGGATCAACTTCATACTTCAAATAAATGTACCTTATCATCATCCACATCTTATGTGACAAGGTTCATAACTCTAGCACGAGATAATTGCAAGAATTATCTCTTCATCAACTTAAATTTTTTTTACTAGAAAAATGTTATTTTTTCTATAACTTTTTAACCAGGTTTTCAATTTTGAAAATCCTGGTTATTAGATTGGGGTATGGCGGGCGGATGGGCGGATGGGCGGCTGGGCGGATGGGCGGGCGGGCGTCAAACGAAATTGTGTCCGCTCTGTAACTCTTCAACCCTTTGAAGAATTTTGATGAAACTTCAGACAAATGTTTACCACATCAAGATGACGTGCAGAACGCATGTTCCGCATGGCTGGCTCCAAGGTCAAGGTCACAGTGACATTAACATTGAAAATCCTGTCCGCTCTGTAACTCTTCAACCCTTTGAAGAATTTTGATGAAACTTCAGACAAATGTTTACCACATCAAGATGACGTGCAGAACGCATGTTCCGCATGGCTGGCTCCAAGGTCAAGGTCACAGTGACATTAACATTGAAAATCCTGTTTACATGATTTTAACTTGATTTGGCAGTCAAAGGTCATATCATCTTTGGAGGTAATTTAAAAAAGATATGATATATTATTTCATGTCTACTTTGTAACTTGTTTTTCATTATACAGAATTATCAATATAATTATAGTGAACAAATTCTTCTGTGCTGAACTCGTCCTACATTTCTCAACGGATTTTGTTCAAACTTTCACAGAAGCTTTGTCATCAAGCCCCCTGGCACATATTGTCGGGGTTTTGTGATTGGATAGTTTTTGACCTAATTATGGCCCTTTGTTTTTTTCCTTATACATAATATTATAGTGAACACTTCTTCAGTGGCAATTCCTCCTACATTATTCATGTTTTACATTGCACATAGTTACATTGTTTGTTGCTTGTATTTGTATTTCAAATACAACATATTTATCTACAATGGTGATAATTGAAAACCTGGTTTCATGGCATTGCCATGTTTCTTGTTTAGTTTTAAAGGTATCTACCTCAAACTTCAAATACTTATTCCTTATAATCAATTATATTTTATGTGACAATGTTCATAACTCTTGAATTAATTTTTACAGATTTATTTCTCTTTGAACTTAGGATTTTCTTTAAGAAATATTATAACTTTGTTACTTTTTAAGGTATCTACTTCAAACTTCAAATATATACTTCTTATCATTACATACATGTTGTGTGACAAGGTTCATAACTCTAGCGTGACTATTTCTAGAATTATTTCCCTTTATCTTGGAATTTATTTTAACAAATGTTATTTTTTTACTATAACTTAATACATAATTATACATAATTGATTTTTCTTTCATAGTTTTGTCCTCCTTACTGCGTCCAGTATTTTATTAGTCAAGCTTGGCTGTCTCCTGTGACAGCTCTTGTTGGATTTGGAGCAGTCCTTTAGAAAATTTAAGGGTTTCAGTATCAAAATACAAAAATTGAGCTCCCAGCAGATTAGAGCAAGATCATAAGACCTTGAAGTTTTGCTTTGATCATATTGGTGGCAAGGGCTAATGACTTTAGTTTCCAGCAGAAAAGGGTTAGAGTTTGAGGAGAACAGAATGATGGTATAGTTTTACTAAATTGTAAGGGCGTCCATGGTGTAGTGGTTAAGGTTGTTAACTTCCAACCACTTGCACTTGACCACTGTGGGTTAAAATTTTCCGACAGCGACTTCAGATTCTCACATGTGAGAAAACTTTCCAGCTGCCTTACAAAACCTCGGACGTGCCTGAAATACTGCACAGAATGGCACCGTAGGTCTTCCTTCACTAGAAAGCTGGAAAATCCCCTATACTGTGCTGGTGCAACGTTAAACCCAACAATGAAAATTTTTAATACAAAGTGCATTATGGAATATTATGCATAATCATATTCTTTGATTTTTCACATAGGTACAGAATAGGACTAATCAAAGTAGAAATGGCATTATAAAATATTATAGTTTAATATACATCTGTATTCTTTGATTCATCACATAGGTACAGAATAGGACCATTCGAAGTAGAAAGTGCATTATTAGAGCATCCAGCCGTACTGGAATCAGCAGTTGTCAGCAGTCCTGATTATAATAGAGGAGAGGTTTGTTCTGTTTTAATAGAAAATATTTTTCCTCTCTCCTATCTGAATAGAAGTGCACCAGATTTGAAATCTAGGGGTCTTTGTTTGATCCTCAGATGAGGTGAAATTTCTGTTCAGCAATTTATTTGGACATTGATTCTAATATAATGCTCATTTGTGTCTCACACCTGACTAAGAAATCATGTGGAATTATTAATTTTGCACATCAGCAAAGAAAATAGTAATTACTGGTTAGTTTTCCCCGAGATATGGTAAACAAAGATTTTATGATCTATGTAAACACTTGATAAACAAATAAAAAATTTTTTTTGTTTGGTAAAGGGATTCATTTTTAGCCACCATTTGATTTGCTGCTGAAGTGATCCCAAAATTAAAGTAGTTTCTTTAAACAGAATAGAGCTGAGTGTATCATTTTCTATACACAAAGATGACAATATACATACATGTCATTGTATGCTTTTTGCATGCAAAAAAACTCTCTTTATTTGAATTAAACAGTTTTAGTGCTATAAGAGGAGGACTCGAACTACGATATCTTGGTTAAGAGACAGACCCACCTCCCAACTGTACTGGTAGATAAGACTGCTGAGATATGATCAAAACCAGATGTTAAGATTGGGTTAGAAAAAGAAAAAAGAAAAACAGATAAAAACCGCCAATACAAAACTGTAATCATAATTCATTTCATCTAACTTTTACAGGTTGTTAAAGCTTTTGTCACTCTAACTGAACCATTCAAGATGGCCGACAAAGAACAGCTTGCTAAAGAGTTACAAGAACATGCAAAACAAGTCACTGCTCCATATAAATATCCTAGAAAAGTTAGACTTTTTATTGCATTTTATTTTGAGAATATATTTTTTTTTGGATGTTTTTAGTGTCATGAAATTTGAATTTGGGAATATAGAATTTTGTTACTTACTTCATGCCAATAAAACAGAAATTGGGCATTGTCTGTCTGGTGAGCTTTTGTGATCACAATTCGTTCTGTGTCTGTTCGTAAACTTTTACTTTATACAACATCTCATAAATTGCTTCAAAACTTTACAGGAATCCCTTGGGTGGTCACCTTTGAAAATTGTTCAAAGAACTGAATTCCATGCAGAACTCTTGTTGCCATGGCAACAGAAAAAAAACTGAAAAAATCTTCTTTTATAAATCCAAAGAGCTTGAGCTGATATATAATTATGTACATAGTAAAAATAAAAAAATCACAAACTTTTACTACAAAAGACATCTCCTCATAAACTGCCTAGCCAATTTCATCCAAACTTTACAAGAATGTTTCATGGGTGGTCACCGTTGAAAATTTATCAAAAAATTGAATACCATGAATAACTCTGGTGGCCAGGGCCATGGAAAGAAAAAACTTATCTTTCTAAATCACCGAGCTGGATTTAAAAAGGACCAAGTTGAGTCCCTTTAATGTTAAGGGTTGTTTTATTTTTTAGTTTGACTATTCAATAAGAATAAGAAGAGCTATTGTCACCCAAGTGTCGGCGCCGGCGTAACCACTTATGTTAAAGTTTTTGTAAAACCTCAAATATTTTGCACACTTGTTCACCATCATGACCTCGACCTTTAGACAGGAGGAGGTAAATGTGTCAAGCATTTTGTCAGAATTATGCCCCTTTTTTGACTTAGAATTTTCGTAAAAGTTTTTGTAATACCTCAAGTATTTTCAAAGTCCATTGACTTATGGCTTTGAAACTTTGCACACTTGTTAACTAACATGGCCCTAACCTGTAGGCAGGAGGAAGTAACTGTTTCAAACATTTTGATAGAATTATGCCCCTTTTTTGACTTAAAATTTAAGTTTAAGTTTGCATACTACCTCAGATATTTTTATATTCTATTGACACCTGGCTTTGAAAAAAGTTGAAATTTTAAACTCTTTTAGAGAATAATAGGACTCTCTTCAAGACCTATAAATGTAACATGGTTTGAAAAAAAAAAATTGCCCTTTTGTTAACTTAAATTTTTTTACATTATCAAGGCTTTTTTACTGTCAAGCACTAAGAATAGTCGAGCGTTGCTGTCCTACCGACAGCTCTCGTTTAAGTTAATCATAATTTTATAGATTATTATTGCATTACAGATTGAGTTTGTGGATACATTGCCAAAGACTGTTAGTGGAAAGATACGGCGTGTGGAGCTGCGTAATAAAGAATGGGGCAGAATTGAAGAATAGTTCTGCTCACAGAAAATAAAATAACTCCATTTTTACAAAGACTATGTGAATGGTATTATGCATAATTTGACATAATTTGGTATAATTGCAAAAGATTTTGAAGTGAAAATTTGAAATGATAAAAAAAAAAATCACAAAAAAAACAAAGCCATTATGTGATTCGTGCCTTTAACGCGTGTTCCATATGACGTCACTACAGGTAAAAATGATTATGTTTGGCACTGATGTTGACATCAAGCCAAAACATCTGCAAGAAATAATTACCAGATGTTTGTGGTTGTGTGGCTTGATATTAATGTAAGTGTTAAAATGATGAATTGAATATGGCTGCCTAAAATTGTGGTTTTGTGAAAAGTTATTATTATATTGTTTATATAGTTTATATAAATGAATTTTTTTTACAACTGTTGAAAAAATTTGTTGTTAGACTTTTATTAGACTTAGTTTTTGTAAGCATTGATTATTTTGTCTAGATTGACATTTTAATGACTAAGTCACTTTCTATAACTGTGTTGAAATTTAAAATGCTGTTATTCATGTAGGAAATACTAACATGTTACAAAAAGTGCCTTACCCCTTGTTCTGCTGATAAGCCTATGCTACCAGTGTTGATATATGCATAAAAAATCTTTACATTATATTAATAGATTTATTTTTGTACAAATTTTATTGGAGGTTGTAATGCTTTTGAAATACATTCACATTTTCAAATGTATTTTTACAATTTATAAATTAATCAATAGATGTTAACTATGAAATCCGTGATTCAGAAAATTTGTCTGTGATTTTGTAACCTTTTTGTATCAAATCAGGTTTTTATTCTCCCATTATTGTTAATGATACAGTATGCATACACATGTTAACATATTTTCAAGTATAAAATTTTAATGTTTTTATATAAAATGAAAAAACCTATTGTACTTATATGGTTTTTGTTAGTTGATTTTTCCATAATTAATAATAATGAATCCTGTATAAAACTATGGACATCCTTGGCATTCTGTTTTTTTTCCCAGTATTATGTGGCTCTTTTCATTTTCATGTTGTCAACATTTGTTTTTATCCTTTACAGAGTTTTTACTAAAAAATTAAGTTAATAGTTCTTTTAAAAAGATTTTCACTAGAAAATAGGTTAATTATTATTGTTTCATGTCCTTATAATTGGATGATTGATGAAAATTTCTTGAATGCACCCTATAATTCAAGGACCAAGCCATTGTTTCTTTGTGCAAAAAACTTTACATTTATTGATCAGTACTAGTTGGTTTCAGGAACAGATTTGAGAGTGTGTCTATGAGCTTATAGCTTTCTACACAATCAAACTAAAATAATTCCTGAATAGATTTAAGAAATATATGCCTATTTGTGATTTAAAGGTTTTAAAGCTATATCAAATGAAATATTTTTATAGACTTTATTAACAATAACATTTTTACAACTTCCATAATGCTCAAAAGAGTTTTAAAATAGAATGTCCCTATTATAACAGAATCTTATGACCTTGAACAAAATGTTATGCTTGCATTTTCACTGCTTAGCAGAGATTTCCTGAGTGATTTACTCACTTTCAAAGAAAATATACAACCATATTTCTTTCATATAAGCATTTTGGAAGTATTCTTTAATCTAAATTCAAATCAGTATTTTTGGCAGAAAGTATATAGGTTTATATGCTATAATATATTCCTTTTATGTAATCTTGGAAAGTTGCCAAATTAATTTTAACAACAGTCAACCAATGAAATTTGGACTCGAATTAGAATATGACTTAGACTTATTCAAACAACACAAAATTTTAGAAAATAGATAAATCATGGAGACATTTTTAGCTTGAGAACTAGGATGCTGATTTAGGTTTAACATTTTGATATCTTTTATTTTATCCAAATAGCAATCTTGTTTTTTAACAGTATTTATAACAAATTTTGACCTGCATACTTGGTCCTGAATTTTGATCCAAATTTTTAGCCTAGTTATTGGACCAAAATATTTATCCGATTTTATTATATCAAAATTATTGATCCTAATTACCAGTTTTAGAATATGATCCTTATTTTTATCTAGAGTATTTATATTAAATTTGATCTTATTCTTGATCCCTACTCTGCCTTTTATTCTCAATAATGACTTAAACATTTTAAAGCAGCACGCCTCCAGATTCATCCTAATTTTCATGAAAATTATGAAAATGTATTTAAAGGTAAAATATTGTGAAATGAACAAAGAAAGTACTTGACACTTTACAATCGGCACTTAAAATTCACTTTAATTACCAAAAAGAGGTCAAAATATGCATAAATAGCCCCTACTGTGTTAGTAACGCAGTAGAAATATGGTGATAAATACTACAAAATACAGTCATTAATTGCACATAAGATATAAATTATCACTTGAATCTTTAATTCGTTAATTTTCTCAAAGTTTTAGTATGTTTTTTCCAAGTTTAATTTTCTTTAATTATTTTGGGTCATCTGGAGGCATTCAGCTTTAAAGGCACATTACGCCTCAGAAATCCAAATTTATTACATTCTTTAGAAATGTCAAACATGTATTTAAATTTTAATAATGTTTTAATTATGGACTTAAAGTATGTGAGATGTAAAACAGTTGAAGAAAGTAGCACTGAATATGCAGTAATGTGTAGTAAAGTTTGCAAAATGTAAACAAAGTAGTATTTTGACTTCCATACAAAATACTTATTCACTATAATTATACCAATTGCCAACAAAACAATAAAAACAAAGATAGTCCATGCATATGGCAAATGATTTTTTTTTTTTTAACTAAAATATAGCAAAATTTAAAGTTTTTGTGGAATAAAATGACAGCAAAAGGATAATGTGCCTAGATGAAATAACTGTTATTTAACTTTTTGTTCTGAAACTTTACACAGAATTATATATATTCTTTAAACATATTTATATTATAACTAGGAAATATTCATTCAAGAATTCATTTTTGCTCCCATAATCATAATAATTAATTGCTGTTATTTTGCAAATATGAAGGAATTTTTACTAAACTAATATGGTATTATGTAGATGCATTACTTTGAGATTAACCCTTCTTTTACTAATTTTGTCAAATGGACTTTCCTTGTTTGGAATTTGGACTATTCCATTTGTAGTTTAAGAAATTTCAGAAATCAAAACTCTTCAATGTAACAAACAATATTATATTTTGTCAGATGCACATATTTCCACTGCCCAGGTGATATATATTTTTATCTTATGAAAAAAAGTTCTGAAACTGTAGAATTTTTTTTTGTAAAATTATTTAAAGTCATAAGATATTGAAATTTTCCAACGTTGGTTACACGATATTTCTAGAAATATATCTAAAAGTAAATGATTTAATACTTGAAGGACAGATATATATATATATATTAAAAAAACTCCATTTATGAATATGTTTCACATCTCCTCAATATCGTTATTTTTGAGCTAGAAATGACCTTGACGGTAAGTAAGGTAACTCGACAAAATCTAGGAGGTTTATATTAAACATGCAAGACTTAAGTACCAAGATCAAGATCAAATTCACTGAGTAATCTCTTACCCTGTTTTAACTTTAGGTCAAGGTCAAACATTGTTTGGATAAACACTTGTACAAAGGTAATAACTTGAGGTTGAGGTAATATATGTTGGACGTAAAATATTTTTCCAAGGTCATAACTCAAAGTCAATTTAAAACCAATTTTGCATGTTACTTTTGCCTAGGTAATAATAACTAAAGGCTTAGGTCAAACACTTTGGACTTGAACTCTTGTCAAGGTCAAAACTGTGATCCAAGGTCATAATTCAAGGTCAAACATTGGAAACTCTTGCCAAAGTCATAATTTTGTTGGCAGCAACTAGCATGGTTGCAGTTGGTACAGTTGGTATTAATACTTGTAGTAATTATAACAATAGGTTGTGATTTTCAGAACATCAATTTTGTGCAACATTACTTGGTAGTTTATCTAATATAATAACAAAAATAAATATATACAAAGATAATCTAAGTTAGTTTGTTTTTATTTAATTAAAATATCATAGAATTATTTACTCTGTGATGTGTCCTATCTTGTGATTATTAACAGTGTAAATACATTTCAAAAGATTTGTCTTTAAAAAAGAATATTTTTCAACTTTTCAAAGAAAAAAGGTGTTGGCATAGTCATGACCAAATACTTGACCTTTGCTAACCATTTTGATTAAGTTTCCATTTATGGCGATTAATTTCAATACTAACAAAGGTATAAGGCTTAATTTTTATATATTGTTGCACCTTGATGAGTCCATCCCTGTCCGTCTGTCCGTTTTTCTTGGTTAGAACTGCAATGCTAAAGAACTTTAACACAGCCTTGTCTTATTTTAGAGTTATTGACCTTTGTTCATTTTTACACTTTGAATTTTACCCAGGACAGAACTCAGAAACTATAAGAGATATCATCACAAAACTTTATAGATGGATTGATCTCATTGAATTGAAGTGCAGTGCAAAAAACAATTACTATGCATTGCCTTATTTGGATTTTTTGCCCTTTGTTCATTTTTTATACTTTCCTGTGTCCAAAACCTCGGGGAGCATCAACCAGTTCTTGTTTACTTTTGTTGACCTTTTTGTAAAGGTTAATTTCTCAAAAACAATTTTCACTTTAAACTTAGAATACCTATTCACTTTTAAATAGTATGCATTTCTAAAGGTTGGACATAACTTATGTCCTTTCTATATTTTTTGTAATTTTCTCAAAACCATCATATACATGTATATTCAGGAAGATTTTCAGAAGCACTCCCCGCCCCCTTTCTATACGTTGCTTTCGTGGAGAACGCTACTCTTCGGATAGCACTCGTTTACTTTTTTTATCTCGCCTGGCATGAAGTTCAAGTGTGAGCTGCATAGATTTCTCAGTGCGCCGCGTATTTTACGTCGAAAGTTGTTCTTATTTCCATTTTAATTATCACTTCCGATACTAATGCACACATTTAATAAAGTTTGGCAGAAATGAGCATTTAATAGAGTTTTTTTTCATAATTACACTCCATGTGTAACTTTGGTATTCATTTGAAAATATTTTTTTCGCAGAAAAAGGAAGGCATAGAGACTTTGCATTGGCTCACTTTTATGATTTTTCTTTAAAAAGATATGAGCCGCGTCACGACAAAACCGACGTAGTGCGTTTGCCACCAGCATAGATCCAGACCAGCCTGCACATCCGCGAAGTCTGGTCAGAATCCATGCTGATCGCTTACCAATCCTTTTACGAGTAGAGAAATTGATAGCGAGCAGCATGGATCCTGATCAGACTGCGTGGATGCGCAGGCTGGTCTGGATCCATGCTTGTCGCAAACGCACAATTTTGGTTTTGTCATGACGTGGATCTTTATAAACTTTTGGTCAAAATGACTTACCCAGATGTCTGATAATTTGAAAAAAATCCCAACTATTGATTTAATGATTACGGTTGGTGATTCAACCAGAGGTTTTATGAAATTTATCTCCATTATTCCACTCACATGCTGGATCTGGCAAAAAAAGTATGACTTTTAAGCTGAGATATTTTCAATGCTTAGTTGTTGTCAAGTAATTTTGAAGTTGCCTTCATTCCAGAAATAAATGGTCTAAGTTAAATATTCAACAGAGATGAAGAAATATATGTTTTACATGTATACGGCCTAACCATGGCTCTTGATAGAAGGGAACTTTTCGATTGATTTATATGAGTAATATTTGAAAATATTTTAACAAAAAGGTAAACCCTTAGAGCAAAATCGAGCTTATAATAACATATCCTTGCTAATTCAAACCAAAAGGAAATGTCTTAAATCAAACAAAAGTAAATCCGATAATGTGTATGTTATTAAGAATAAGCCGTCAAGAAGCATTATCTCTTTCAAAAAGAACGTAATATGCGCTCAATTCAAGATTAAGCATACTGTATTTTGGTAAATAAAAATTATAATGAAATTGAAAATAATTGGAAGTGTGCCAAACTGCTTTTGAAAATGCAGTTTTATGTTCTAATGCTCCGCTTTGCTTCTTTCTTGGGAAATTTATCAGAGGTGATTATTTTTATCGCTTCTGAAGTCTTACTCATAAAAACATTATGAGAGCTCAATTCATCCTTTTTTCTGATTTAATTTGATTGGTATGGATAATGAAATATAATTAAATTTATCCGGCCTATAACTCTGACTGAAATTGACGTATTGATGCGTTTTTGATGCTTAGAACGTGGAAACAAAACATAATCTGCCGGTGATAGCTAATGATACAGCACCGAAGATCGGCTATTAATTTGCTGATTAGTTGTTAAATACCAGAATGATTTGATCTCGTTAATTAATTATGCGCTTTAATTTTGGACTTTGCCTTTAATTAGAAACTTGGAGTTGATAAAATAACAAAATTGTGTGACTTACAGCGGTCTTTTTTTACATACATATATAAAATTTTGATTATAAAAGGTTAAAGGCAAGAAATGAAGGCCTTTGGAATAAATTAATTTCTAAATCTTAAATGTAATTAAAGACATTTTCATGTTTTAGTGTTGAGCTCTTCTTAAGCCGGTGCTGGGGTGGGGTATTAACATATACCTTTTCTGATCATGAACAGGTTCAAACAAGCCAGCATTTTTCCCGTCTTCGGAGGATTCCATTTTGACTATTTTACTGAGATGATAAAATTGTGGTACATGTAATAAGATTAAATTTTATATGTAAATTGGGCTTGATTACAGTTTAGTTGTTTTTCTTCATTTTTTTTAAAGTTTAATGCAAATTTCAAACTTGACAGAAACGATTCTAAAATAAGCTAGTCTGAAATCGTATATTTTCTTCACAGTTACTTTTTGTTATATTTGTTTTTTTTATATTCTGCAACGGTTTTTATCAATGTGTTTATAACAGAAATTACCGTTGTCAACAAAACCAGTACCATTCTTAACAAATTTTAGTACGTTCAGCAAACAAACATATACTTTATGTTATTTTCAGAACAGAACTGTACGTTTAAGTAGTTAATAATGATCAAGAAATGACGAAGTTAAGTCTCTAATAATGCGATAAATGGCGATGATGTGATAAAATGAGTTTCGAAAATTCGGCTTTTCTATTGGCTACTAACTCGCGTGACGAAGATTACTGCGCGCATGCCAAATTGAATTTTTCAATCCGATAACACATTTATTTGAAATATAACGGAAATTGGTTTAACTATTCATTGTTTTAGTTTTGATAAAACGTGTTTGTAGATTTTTTAAGTATTTGGATTTGTTGACTACACGATTTTCAAGATGACTATGCTTGATCGAAAGCCTGGAGTTCGTTGAAGAAGTAATCGGCTGCCTGAGCGAGGTAAAAACACCAAAAACTTTTTTTTTTCCGCCATCGGCAAATTCTTATGTAATAACAAAATACTATTCGTTCTAAAAATGCCTAAAAGATAAAAAAATAATTTTTAGAAAGGTGTCATTTTTTTTATCTATTGCATCTGCAAACATTCAGATGTTTTATTTGCTTTTTTTTTTTTTTTTTTTGTTATTTTTAAATGCATAAATTTTATTAATATATAATATCTCATCTATGTAAAGTACACTTATATATTTCAACAATGCCATGCGCACATTTATTCTATATGAAAAATATAAAAGACAAATGAATCACAAGACACTACTTGTCATTTTCCTAAAAAATCTAGTCATTTTTGTGATGAAATATAAATATTATCTATAGTACCTGTAAATACCGACATTGCTAAACTATTCTTGGGAAAGAATAATTTGCTTAAAACGAAACAGATACAGCTAAAAAGTTAACCTTCCTCAATTTAATTAATCAAATGGGTTAATAAGTGCTACTTAAGTTTTACAAAATGCAAGTTTGATTTGCATGGTCCGATGTTTTATATCTAGCTGAATTACGATCTACCACAAAATAATATTATCCATAACTTAACAAAATATGTTTATGATTATTAATTAAATCTAATTGTTGAACGATGTAACGTAAAAAAATTTCTGTTACCTACATTTTCCTTTTCTATCGTTTATGTTTACAAAAAGAAACGAATGTTTTGGGTTTTGGGATTTTTTCTGTTGTTTTTTTTATTGATATTTTTGTTGTTTTGTTTTTATTTTTAAATATATTATTATACATACAATCATTCTCCGTTTGCCGGCATTTATAATTTTTTACACAGGGCCTTATATATTTTAATGATAATAGCATATGTCGCGAAAACAATATTGTTGTTGGTGATATTGGAGAATTATTATACAACTTTCAAAATGCAGTTTTTTTCTATATTCTAAGAAAATCAAACGATAGATATTATACAATCTTGAATCAAATCAATACATTTCTAAAAAAAAGGGTCTAAAAACGTGTTCTAGCTAAAACACATTTGTACATCAATGTTTTCTATTTACTTCCAAAATAAAGACCACCTTTCTTTAACGACTACTTTGTTACAATTTGAGTGGTCTTTCCTAATACTTAATAAAGACTTGCTTTCCTACTTTATATCTACAAAAAATCTGCAATGAAATGACGTTGCGTTTAACATTGGTGTCAATAAAATAGTAAATTCCAACTCGCGTGACAATCATGAAAGTATACGCTGTTTACAGATGTCAAAGATTCATTCTCCAGAATAACACAGTATAGAATCGCGGTTTTTATTTACAACATCTTTATTACCCTAACAGCTAAAACATTCTCTTTTGAGGAAACTAATACAGAAATCGTTTTAAAGCCCACTTGCGGCTTGATAGAGCGAACTCCATTAAATATAAAGTGCAAAATTACCTTGTTAAAAAGTTCATGGAGGTCATTCGTCTATTTTATCCTCAAGCACGAACAATCTAAGTGTGTCCTGATTTTTTTTCTTGACATAAAAAAATAAATTGTTTTACTACGATCTCAAAAACCACTTTGCAATAAAAGTATTCGCTTTTTCTTCCATCTCTTTATTAAAGATAATATTCTCGTTATGCGAATATATTTTGAATGTTAATCATTAGACTTCATTTTAACAATACATGTGTATGAACAATAAAACATTTTCAGGTAAGCTGGGTGTAAGGTCTTTTAATTTGAAAGGCATTGCTTGAACATACAGATTCCCAAGTGTATATACATGTAAATACAGTTGTACATATTCAACACTCTATTTCTGTCAGAAATTATGAATGAGAGATATGTTTTATAGAATTTTTCAACTTTTTGCCAACTGTAAGTTCGTTACGCAATAATCATTATACCTTAATACCTTAATGTTTATAACAAATCTCGTGGGAAATCAAAATGCCGCCTTGTGTACAGTATGCTACCTTACTTATAAAATCAAAGGGCTGCAAGCTCTGTGGTATTTTCTGATCTTTGCAATCAAAATCATACTGTATATATGTATGTATTTTCCTGTATAAGTTTATTTTTATGTACTATAATTCATCTTGCAAGGCAACAGAGTTTGATACATACGGAATTTTGCATAACTACTGTAGAGTTGCATCAAAAAATCATTTACGTTCATTTTTTATGACAGCCACACTTTATCATTGCATATCATGGCTACTTTCTTAACAAAGACATTTAAAAAAGAATTAAAAAAAGTTGCTTCGACTGGGATTTGAACTCCAGACCTATCATACACTAGACGAGCGCGTTACCCCTGCACCACGGAGAAGTTATATAGACGATGCCTGAATAAAATCTAGTTATTCTAAGTTTAGAACTTCCATTGCATTCCGGGTTTGTAATCCTTACTAATTTCGAGGTATTTTGTTTAAAATTGAAGTAAATAGTTAAGCGAAAATCTTCTCGCCAAAAACAGTCCGACATTTCGAATCTATATATTCCACTACTCTGCAGTCAGATTTATTTGTGTAGTATTCGGTAATCGACATCACTAAAAATAGCATTTTCATTGATTAAAATAAATTCATCCGCGTAATTTGTGATTGTGCATTTATTGACAATTCTATAAGACAATGCTACTTTTAAACTTTGAATGCGTTGTAATTTGTTGGATACTTGTAACAAAATAAAGATATTTCTTTCTTTTAAATCGCTAGTTTTAAGCTGTTTTGAGAACTACTTGTTGTTAGGTTTGTCGTGAAATTCTGTGTCAGAGATTGAATGTCAGCTTTGTATTTACTGACCTTCGGTCAGAAAATACAAAAATTAGATTTGGTGCTATCTCTTTTGTCGAAAATCATCTGAAATGTCCAATTATGTTCATAATTACAACATCTGTTTGTCCTTTATATTAAGATTTAACAATATCAGTATATAAAAAACAATCAATTATTCGTTCTATCTAATACATTAATTTTGCGACGTAGATATACTTTGATAATCTCTTAACAATTCCATGCTTTTCATTGAAAATATGCATTTATTTTAAGAACGCCGAGAGCAATAATATATTGGTAAATGTTCTTTCCTTAATTCCTTATAAAAAGAAAACATATTTAGTTCTGAGGCTTCATGGATCTTTAAATGAATATTAGAGACGAAAGATGACGAAGTTTCGCGATTTTGCACGGATCTATCGAGTTCGTGAAAATTAAATTGATATGATAAATCATATCATCTCAAACATAGCCTTGTTGCCTTTCAATATCGTTTAATAATAAATTATCTGATACTGTTTAAAACATCTAGTTCACACAATCAGCAGTAGACATAATATCTGACGGGGTTGGGGCTTTTGCCGCATTGTCATTTTTGGACGGGAGGGATTTTGTACGGGAGGGCTTTTGTCCGTTTCCCTGTCTGACGTGCCAACCAACACCAACTTCTTTAGAATGTCTTTTTTGACGACCGCTATTCTACACGAATAAGTAGTTTATTTTTTCTTTAGAGATACAATGAATACAAAATTCAGACTAGGTAAGCCGTGGTAAAAAGTAGATTTTAATGAATATTTTTTGTGCAAATTCAAACAATTACGAAATTAAAGTGAAATAAAGACAGAAATAAAGTAATTAAAAAAATCTATAACAAATTAAATTTACTTTTATGATTACAAAATTTACGAAGACAAAATAAAACAATGTAAGCCATAAACAAAAACAACCGGAATTGCAAAGGAACATTAATTTTGCAACAATTACAACAACGGAAACCACTTGGTTTACTAATATTGTAATTTTATAATTTTATATTTAGTAATATTATAATGTACATACTTATACAATAGGGTTGTGCCACAATTACAGAATACGAATATTATCTGAGGCCGTTCCCTAAATCATTTCTTTGATGGAAAAACAATTTTCGACATTATACAATGATTATATTGGAATTGTCAGTTAATTATCGATCATTTCCGACAGTTGTTCACAATGCACGTAATCTATCAAAACAACCCTGATAATGGACATGTATATATGAAATTCCAATAAAAGTATACATATTTGTAGTTAAATATCCGTTGGGTTGTATAATATTACTAAAGGCACATGCCCCAGAAATCCACTTTTTTATTATTTAAAAATGTCAAACATGTGTTTAATGATTTTTAAGTAATGGATTAAGTGCATGCTAGATGTTTTACAACTGAAAAATATGCGCTCAACATGCGGTTATGTGTCGTAAAAGTAGCAAAATGTAAACAAAGTAGTATTTTGTTTTCCATACAAATACTATAAATTTACTTTATTTACACCAATTACAAATAACTAAAAAGATGCAAGATAGTTCACGTATATAGCAAATAATTATGATTTTGAAAACTGTTACTAGATACTGAAAATAAACAGTTTTTGAGAATTAAGAATGATAGCATTTCTGAGGGAAAATATGGGCCTTTAAAACTGAAAGATGAAAATAACGTTTAAACAAAATCGTGACCATAATGATGATGATGGTGATACTTTCTATATGTAAACATATGCACGGACCTTAACCGCCTCCGTGGTCGAGGGGTTAGAGTCGATGACTTCTAATCCGTGGTCGAGGGGTTAGAGTCGATGACTTCTAATCCAGTTACCTCTCTGGCGTGGGTTCGATCCCCGGTAGATGCTTTGGTAGTTTAGCGTCTAGTACTGGTGTAACTCTCCAGGAACGATGGTTAGGAAACTACCCGCCTATATGACTGAAATACTGTTGGAAAAAGGCGTAAAATGAAACAAACAAACAAACAAACAATAATTGGCAGTCAATAAAGGTCCCTGACATATGTCATCTTAACGGTTGCCCATGGAATAACGATTATCGGTCGTTTAGTACTATGTGTATTAAAGATAATTAGTCACGACTACTTGTGAATCAGTCTCCTTGAATAGCAATATTTTACACAAATAATACACATGCTAATGTTCGAGATTTTCAAGACATTGCTCTAAATCACGCAGTCAAGGCATTGCTATCATTACGCATAATTGGAAGTTTCGCGTTTTTGCAAACTTTGTGATATAATTATAATACAGCTAGTTTAAATTATTTTAAATTTTGCAAGAATCGCTAAGTTTGAAAAAAAATCAGAACGGGTGTTTTGCCATCAGGTTTTCTGTTGCACAAATTATGCCAGAGATTTCTTAAATACACACATTTTAATGTACATGTACACTTTTATATAGAGATGTTTAATGACCAATTTTTGTAATTATCGGAGAATCTGAAGAGAATCAGACAAATAAAATGAAATAGCCAATTGCAAGCAAGCTTGAGTTACATACACTTTCCATCAATAGTGTCCAGCTTTATTTGTCATCCAATGAAAACGCTGTATTTCTTAAAAATTATGTGTGTTAATTTTCATAGAAGAAAAAAGTAGATACAATATTAAAATCAGTTCATAGTCGCCTTCTATTTTTCATAGTGCTTCATAGTACCGCGTAATGACGTAATCAAGGGCCAAATAAAGCTTGACACTAAATATGTTAGTGTTCATCCTTAGCTGTTCTACAGAAATAAGAAACATTCTCCTGTCGCTATCGCTCCCGTCGAAGTTTCTAATTTCTGTAGAACAGCACGGATGAACACTAACATATACAAAATGTTTACTATGATTAATTTGACAAATTACGTCATTGTTCGTACATGTATTAGAAACGTATTCGTAGTTTAGTAATATTTAGTGTCCAGTTTTATTTGTCATCCAATGAAAACGCTGTATTTCTTAAAATGTGTGTTAATTTTCATAGAAGAAAAAAAGTCGATACTATATTGAAATCCGTTCATAGTCGCCTTCTATTTTTCATAGTGCTTCATAGTACCGCGTAGTGACGTAATCAAGGGCCAAATAAAGCTTGACACTAAATATGTTAGTGTTCATCCTTAGCTGTTCTACAGAAATTAGAAACATTCTCCTGTCGCTATCGCTCCCGTCGAAGTTGACGGATGAACACTAACATATACATAGTTTTTAAAGATCTGCGCACTAAAAAAACAACACGGAATGATAGTTTTTTTGCCTTTTTTGCGTGTGCATTACCTCACGAATTTTCTTTTTATATTTATAAAATTTCAGTCTGTCTTTTCTGGCTTAAATACAACAATTTCTTCAACCATTCAGACCATTTGCAATGAAACTACAATGGAAAAGGTTGAGGCCTATGTGAGACCATTATGGGAGGTTGACTTTGTAATGGCTCTGATTTACTGCTGTTTAGTCGGCGTTGCTCTCTCCGTCGGCACGGTCGGAAACATCCTGATTCTGATTGTTACAGCCGGTACCAGGACAATGAACAGAGTCGGGCGGGATTTTGTGATAAACCTAGCACTTGCTGACCTCTGCGTGGCGGCCGTAGCGGACCCGATGTGCATTCTAGGTCGGTATTCTCTTAGATTATTGTTACATTATAATTTTACCTTCTATTTAATATCTTGTTTGTAATACTCGTACATATTTATATCAATTACAACAATACGGCATTTACGTGTATTTTATCTGATCTACGTAAAATGAGAAGTTAACTCAACACCATGTCGGCGAAATCTCTCATTAATTTTAAAGCTGTTTGTTTTATTTTGCCGTTTTCTTAAAGGTGTTATAAAAGGTGAAAAATGGTTCCAAAGCCGTTGGATTTTGTGTGAACTGGTTGCCAGCATGTGCCTTACAGCCTGCTTCTGCGCGTTCCTCAGCCTCACTCTGATGTCAGTCAATCGATACGTTTTCGTCTGCCAAAACAAGTGGTACCAAAAGATATTTCGACGACCAGTTTGTATCGGATTGTGCATGTTGTGCTGGATATCGGCGTTTCTATTTGAGTTTCCGAACTTTATTGGCTGGGGAGGCCATTATTTCGACGAGAAGAACCAGCAGGTAGGCACAAACAATTTTCGTCTGGCTAATATTTTCGACCTTTATCGAGTTCTGAATTACTGCTTATTGTTTGTTTATTTGGATGAACTATAATAAAAACACAATAAAACAAAATACCGTGAGTAAAAGCTATGTCATTTTATAGAATTTTGATGGATTTGCCAGTTAGGGGTTTAAAGCCAGAAGCAGACCTAATTTGAACCACACCATTATCTATATGTTCTAAATTGTTTTTATACTCAGACGGAATTTGTTAACTATTTCTTTATTATTCTTTATATGCAAGATACATGAGATTTTATTTCAATATTTATGTACATCTATTTCCTCAGGTATCCACGTCCTAAAAAGCGCTAGCTATTGCTAATTATTACATTAAAGATTTTTTTATCTCAGTCCTTTTTAGCGGTAAATATGTATAATTTTTAACGCAACTTTGAAGCAATGTACATAATGCAACTTTCAATAAATTTTCTTACCCACAAGATCGTAACGCAATCGTTAAAAGTGAATATTAATCATTTTTAGTCCGAGTTCATTTTTCAGACTTGGACTCTTAAAGCGGAGAACTGTAGACTATAGGGACATTACCAGTTATATTGAAATACCAAGATTTGAATGAACTTTTCTGCATTCTGTTTGTGAAACAGCATACAATAACGTTTAATTTAACCTTCAAACAGATTGCCTTCTTTACTGTTAACTTAGACTGCTTGGTGTGAAAGGTTTGTAACTTCATCTTCATGTTATTTGGGTTACAACCCTCTTACACTAAGCCCTCGATCTGGAATGAGGCTTTGGTTTCTATTGTCTGTAATGATGTGGTTGGTAGAACATGTGAAAGATCTTAAGACAAATTAAAGGATTGTGGTATATTTTCAGTGTATTTGGGACAGGACTGCAAGTTTCTCGTACACGGTGTTTGTTTCGGCTGGGTTGATCGGAGGCCCTCTGCTACTTATGGGTCTCTGCTTCATCCTAGTGTTCCGGAAGATTTGGTTGACAAAGAAAAACGTGTTCTCACTGGACCAGGAAGATCCTCTCAGGTATACAAAGTTCATGTTAAAATGATGAGCCGCGCCATGACAAAACCAACATAGTGCGTTTGCGACCAGCATGGATCCAGACCAGCCTGCGCATCCGCGCAGTCTAATCAGGATCCATGCTGTTCGCTATCAGTTTCTCTACTTGTAATATGGTTTGTAAGAGAACAGCATGGATCCTGATCAGACTGCGCGGATGCACAGGCTGGTCTGGAGCAATGCTGGTCGCAAACGCACTGTTTGTTTTGTCATGTCGCGGCTCATATTCTTTAATTAGATCCGAGAGCTTTTCCTAGAGCATTCAACCAATAGATCTGTGTTGAGCTAATTGTATAAAGTATAATAATTATTGATGAATTGATAGGTCATCTCATTAAAAAGAGTCCTTTGAACTATCACTTTATCATTCTTTGTATAATATACTACACGTTTGTAAGACGCTTTTCGCTAGATATACTTTTTATATTATCTTTATCAACATTTTTTGAAGAGTTATTTTATTAGTTATAAATATTTTTGATAGGTTATATGGCGTATATAAACAGTTGTTTACGTTTATATACGGCCATATAACCTGTCAAAAAATCTTAATAACGAATTTATATACCAGAAAAAAGTGAAATACATTGATTGAACTTAATTTTAGTGAAATCTCTAGATTAAATCTCATTGCAGGCATGTTTTTTTCGTGTAAGCTGTTTGTTTTCATCTTACTTCCGATTAATTAACATGTTATTTACCAGTTACTTACCGGTATTTACCGGACAAGTTGTATTTAATGTTATGGATTAATCATTATTAAACGTAAACTCCAACCATGTGTCTTTTTGTTATATTGTTTAGTTATCTTAGCTATCGTGAAATGACTCTTAAAATTACTTTGTGTTATAGAATGCGCCGTGTGTGGCAAGAAGCACTGCGATCTTCACGTACGCTGGTAATCATCTTTGCGGCCTTCGTCATCTGCTGGACACCGTACGCTATCCTCACGGCACTGGATGTAAATGACACGTTCTCTACAGAAGTTCACTTGTTTGCCACCATGCTGGCCCATCTACATTCAAGCCTGAATTTCACTATCTACATGCTTACAAACAAGTAGGAATTATAGAATAAGAATAGTACGGTGTTCCGTTTGGACAATCGTGATTTTTTATTTCGTCCTAACCCGCGATGCACGATGGTACGATGGTGAAAAGGCGATGGAACGACGACACGATGATGTTAACACGATGGTACGTTGCATAATCGCGATGTCAGGATGGTGAAAACGCGATGTTACATTGCGTTTTCACAATCGTACCATCGCGTCTCCACCATCGTACCATTGCATTTTTACCATCGTGCATCGCGAATAAGGACGAAATAAAAACTCACGATTGTCCACCGTAGATTAGAGATACTTTAAGAATATTTTTCACAGAATGATATAAGGCAGTGGTTAGCCGTTCGGGCTAGTATTGCATGTCAAAAGTTCTAGCCATACGGGAGTCACGCACGGCTAGTCTATATACGCTTCTTCAAAAATATAAAGTAAATTACTATAATTATAACATTGAAAGATTTTGCATGACAGTGACGGTAGACGTGGAGTATCAATGTATCAAGTTACGTAATTTATAAACCTCAAGTTACGTACTTTATATACCTAATATTTCCAACGCATTCTTAGAAAATAATTTCTGAAAAAAAAAACGGAAAATACATAAGTTTACCGCATATCGTACAAGTATTTTTCAGGAGGGAGTATTTACATGCTCACACGAGCTGTTTAAACCGGTTGGACTGTATTTTCTGGCTCCGATGGACGGGTGGTTAAGGTTGCTGACTTTGAATCACTTGTATCTCAACATTATGTGTTTAAATCCCGACAAATATTTTAGATTCGTTCATGCGATGAAGCTATTCAGATAGCCGACGGAAGGTCGGTGGTTCTATCAAGACGCCCATTTCGAGGCTGAAATAATGTACTGTGGCTTCCTTCACCTATGAAGCTTAAACCTCGGCATGTGATAACTAAAATGTTGGTCTGACTTAAAACCGAACACACACACACACAAAAAAAAAAAAAAAAAAAAAAAAAAAACTGATGGAATTTTTTACTTTTTTTTTATTTAACAGGAGGTTCCGACAATCCGTGTTCTCCCTATTCCGCTGCAGCCTCACCACATTTACCTACAGAAGTTCAACCGACAACGACAAGACTTTGGAAACAGCTTCTTCGAAGAGCGACAGGACTGTCAGTGAACTGCCAAGGAAATATTACATCAACGCAGCACTTCAGCCCGAGAAATCCCTCAAAAACGGATTCTCTGACATCGGGGTATTTTTTTACAGTTAATCATAGCGCGGGTTTTGTGTGTGCTTTATTATTATTTTTTTGTCATCATTATCATCATCATCATTATTATTATTATCAACAACATCATCGTCGTCGTCATCATTAATATTGTTATTATTATTATTATTATTATTATTATTATTATTATCATTATCATCATCATCATCATCAGCATCAACAACAACATCATCATCATCATCATTATTAGTAGTAGTACTTTTATCATCATCAGCAGCAGCAACAACATCATCATCATCGCCATTATCATCATTATTGCATCATCACCATCAATCACCACCACCATCATCATTTTTATTTTTTTCATACCGAATCGTTCCTGCTCTAAAAATAACATATATCAACGATATTATTAAAAGAAATGAAAAATCACTTGGCAGTGTGAAATTAGTTACTGTCTGGAATTTACATATAACTATTAATTCTTATTAGGTTCAGCAAAAACGAAATATGACGAACATTTGTTTAAGCTGTCTTGACATATGAATTTCTTTATTCTCTGTTAACACATAATTATTGATTCAGGAATAATACATTGTTTTATCAATAAAAAATCCTCGTATATCAATAATGATTTTATAACAAATATTTCTTCTTCATACAGATTTTTTTATAAAAAAATCCCCGTTTATCATTAAGGATTATCAACAAATATTTCCTCTTCAAACAGATTTAAAGAAGACAATTTGATGATAAATATAGGCTAGTTCAAGCTTTACAGCGACTAACGAGGGTAACCATCAATTGCCTAGACCTTTTACAGGGAAAAATCATCCCCCGGGTTAATATTGTTTTCTGTACTATAATTGCGCGTTTATTGAAGGTATATGCATGCAGTACAAGAAAATTTACCTGCATTGTATAATTCTTATTGATCACTTGAAAATTGCATTACCACTCTAAAAGCCACTCTAAGAACCATTCTAAGAGCCGCTCTAACAACCACTCCTAGCACCACTTTAAGAGCCACTCTAACAACTACTCCTAGCACCACTCTAAGGGGCCACTCTAACAACTACTCCTAGCACCACTCTAAGAGCCGCTCTAACAACCACTCCTAGCACCACTTTAAGAGCCACTCTAACAACTACTCCTAGCACCACTCTAAGAGCCACTCTAACAATTACTCCTAGCACCACTCTAAGAGCCACTCTAACAACCACTCCTAGCACCACTCTAAGAGCCACTCTAACAACTACTCCTAGCACCACTCTAAGAGCCGCTCTAACAATCACTCCTAGCACCACTTTAAGAGCCACTCTAACAACTACTCCTAGCACCACTCTAAGAGCCACTCTAACAATTACTCCTAGCACCACTCTAAGAGCCACTCTAACAACCACTCCTAGCACCACTCTAAGAGCCACTCTAACAACTACTCCTAGCACCACTCTAAGAGCCACTCTAACAACCACTCCTAGCACCACTCTAAGAGCCACTCTTAACAATTACTCCTAGCACCACTCTAAGAGCCACTCTAACAACCACTCCTAGCACCACTCTAAGAGCCACTCTAACAACTACTCCTAGAACCACTCTAAGAGCCACTCTAACAACTACTCCTAGCACCACTCTAAGAGCCACTCTAACAATTACTCCTAGCACCACTCTAAGAGCCACTCTAACAACTACTCCTAGCACCACTCAAAGAGCCACTCTAACAACTACTCCTAGCACCACTCTAAAAGCCACTCTTACAACTACTCTAAGCACCACTCTAACAACCACTCTAGAACTACTCTAAGATAACACTAGAATTACACTGTTATGTGATATTCACTATATGTCTATATTTGCAGTTTGTTGAGAAGGGAAGTGAAGATGGCACGATAAACAATGACATGATGAACGAGAAGAACTGTATTAATGGGACATATGACGACGTCCAGAAATACTAGCATTCTCCCTTTTATAAAAAAAATATACAAGTATGTATGTACTAATTGCTATGACTTGCGTGTATAACACCAACCTGTTTAAAATACCAATTTATTCAGGCCTACATGGAATTCCGGTCAGCATTAGATCCCTATCAGATATTTTCATTTAGAATAACCACTGTTCAGTATTTGTGCAATGTATTTTCCATCAATACCATGATTTCTCGATCTGATGTGTCATACCATGTTATCCCAATTAAATACTTCATAACATGATATGCCAATAATTCTATGAAATTATGGTTATTATATAATTATTAATGAAATATTGAGAAATATTGACGAAATGAAATGCGTTTTTATTTTCATTTTCCGTATTTTCACTGTAAATTTTTTTTCTCACAGCAGTGAAAATATTTTCCGTATTTTCACTGTACATGTATTCTTGCCGGACTACTTTCTTCTAAATTCAGCTATTACACAAATTTTAAGGGGAATTCAACAGATTTATTTTTCTATTTCTGCCGCCACTCATGAAATATTTACGAGTATTTTCATACCACTCGATAAAAATAAATACTGTATTTATAGAAAAAAAAACTTAAATATCTTTTATATATTTTTTTATGGAATGAAATCCTGATAATGTGTATTTTGTACCTATGATCTCGGTGTTTTTATACCTTGTAATCCTAATTATATAATATATACTTTTATACCATGACATTTAACAAAATCCCCACTAGATATTTCGTGCTATGAAAATTAATCTTAAAGGAACTCCACTGAGGTCCAAAAGTCTAAAAGCATAAAATTTGAAATCCTTACATAGATCAGATTGGGCTCTAAAAACAAACAAAAATATGTAACAGATAATTGAGAAATATATTCAGAAATAATTTAAAATCGTAGTTTTTTTTTTTGTTATTCTTAGTTCTATTTTTCAATGTTAGGTAATTTTTTACAATTAGAATAATCATTCTGGAATCGAATGATCTGAAGTTTTGCACACAAGTTATTTGCCTAGTTTTACATCAATGGAATATTTATCTCGAAAAGTTATTTCAGCACCATCATGTCATAAAAGCTCAATTATGTAACGCCGTGACTGTCTTATGCTATCAATATTTTTGCTATCTTCTGAAAAGATGATATTATTTTGTCATTTAAGCATATAAACATGTGAAATTTACATCATATCTTGTCTAAAGACAATGCTGACTTGTTCAAACAGCATGTTAACTTGTCAAATAATGATTATGACATGTGCAGACAACATGTTAACTTGTCAAAATATCATGATGACTTGTGCAAACGACATGTTAACTTGTCAAAATTTCATGATGACATGTGCAAACAGCATGTTAACTTGTCGAATTATCGTGGTGACATGCTAATAATACCTTAACAAGTTAACATGTGTTTTGCACAAGTCATCACGATTCTTTGACAAATTAACATGTTGTTTGCACAAGTCATCATGATAATTTGACAAGTTAACATGGCATTTTCACAAGTCATCACGATACCTTGACAAGTTAACATGCTGTTTGCACTTGTCATCATGCAATTTTGACAAGTTAACATGTCGCTTTCACAAGTCACCATGATACTTGGACAAGTTAGCATGTTGTTTGCACATGTTATCACGATGGTTTGACAAGTTAACATACTGTTTGCACATGTCATCATGAAATTTTGACAAGTTAGCATGGCATTTGCACAAGTCATCATTATACTTGGACAAGTTAACATGCTGTATGCACATGCCATAACGATAATTCGACAAGTTAACATGCTGTTTACACATGTCATCATGGAATTTTGACATGTTAGCATGGTATTTGCACAAGTTATCATAATACTTTGACAAGTTAACAGTACGTTTTGACATGTCAGCATGATACAAGTTAACATGTCATTTGCACAAGTCATCACGATTCTTTGACAAGTTCACATGTTGTCTTCACAAATCATCATGGTAATTTGACATGTTAACATGCTGTTTGCACAAGTCATCATGATACTTTGACAAGTTAACATGCTGTTTGCACATGTCATCACGATAATTCGACAAGTTAACATGGCGTTTGCACAAGTCATCATGACACTTTGACAAGTTAACATGCTGTTTGCACATGTCATCACAATAATTCGACAAGTTAACATGTCGTTTGCACAAGTCATCATTACGTTTTGACAAGTTACCATGTCATTTGCACAAGTCATCATTATACTTTGACAAGTTAACATGTTGTTTGCACAAGTCATCACGATACTTTGACAAGTTAGCATGTTGTCTGCACATGTCATCATAATAATTTGACAAGTTAACATGATGTTTGTACAAATCAGCATGTTCCTTTGACAAGACATGATGTAAATTGCACATGTTAACACGCTCAAACGACAAAAAATATCATCGTTTCACAAGATAACAAAAACATTGATTACATAAGACAGTCACGGCGTTCCATACTCAATGGTGTCCCTTTCAATGTACATGTATTTACATATCATGAATTACCAGTAAGTAACTCAAAATGTTGGACACACAAAAATGCTAAGAACTGAATAATATAAAAGTAAAATAATACTGGGTCATAATAAGCATTTAATTTGCTTACACTGATGCAGGTGTTTGAACCAGAAAATGAACACAAATATATTATATATCATTTCAGATGAGCAAGAAAAAGACAGTGCAGTCAATATGAAATAAAGGGCTGGAAGAAAAACATTTTCTCCAATCAATCAATTTCAATAAAACAGTTGTATAAAAATAGTAATATTCATTCAATGCTGGAAAAAAACATAACATTAGATATTCAAGTCATAATTATCGTGTTTACTTAATTAAGGAAATCCACGTGTAATTAACTCATATAAACACGTTATTTCACATTTCGTAGGTCTTGGCGAAGGCTTATTCGATCTTGATAAGACACGAAGAGTGGCGAAATTTACCGGACTTTACGGAGCTTTTAATGGCTGTTTTACTTTTCTCGTTGTTTACGTTATTTGATACAACATTGTCTACATTATGTAAGGCATGACGTAGAATGGACCTTTACCTGTCATTTATGTCTGGTGCATTGTTACAATTTTAATAAGCATAAAGGCAAAACAACAAAACAACTTTAATGAAATGATTGGCTTGTTTTATGTGAAAGTGATGAATCGTATTTTTAAAGTCCTTCCCAGTGCGATACAGTTTTGTACTTACAATGACTTTTCATTTATATATTTATTATGCGCACGTGATATTCTGGGGAAAATTCCCGCGTAATATGTTTCGTGTTGTATTCATACGCAATATTAGATTTTGCCCCAACCCCTACTTAATTTGTAGTAACAAGATGTTCAGCGTTTCCTTCTGCGGCCCGGATGGTTTGTATTTTATTTTGAAGTCTTGGAAATGTGTATACACAAAATGATTAAATGATATAAGAAATCCCTGTATACTTCCGTCCATTTAATACATTCAGTTATATTAGTAGTACTAGTGTTTTTCTCTGAATGTTTGAGTATGCGGTATCCTTTCACGATTTTAATCGTCCGATCTAATATGTTCTCAAATAGAACTTTTGAATGTACAGCGAGCAATAACATATATTTTACATGTACGGCGGCTGATTTACAATGTATTCAAATAATAATTATTTTTAAAAGTAAAGCGACCGATAAATAGAAGTTAGTTTTCATGAACAGGACCGATCTACTATGAATTCATGTACAGCGATCGATCTACAATTTAATGTATTCAATAGTAGTTAGTTTTCTGGTAAAGCGACCGATCTGCTATATATATATATGAATTCATGTTGAGCGATCGATCTACAATTTAATGTATTCAATAGTAGTTAGTTTTCTGGTAAAGCGACCGATCTGCTATATATATATATGAATTCATGTTGAGCGATCGATCTACAATTTAATGTATTCAATAGTAGAAAGAGGCCGATCTACTAAAACATTGAATAATTCAGGTACAGCAATCGATCTACAATGTTTTCAAATAGTAGTTAGTTTTCATGTACAAAGACCGACCTACAATATATCTACATACATGTAGTAGTTATTTTCCGTATTACAAATTACTGATCGATTTACAAGGTATTAAAATAATACTTATTTTTTCATTGTTTTCAAATAGTAGTGCAAACTTGACAGACCCTGATGAAAGTGCAAAAAATTGAATGCGGATAAAATTATTCCCTCAGCATCAATTGTGCTTAAACCACATCAACTTGTGATGTTTGTTTGTGTTTTTGTAAATACATTCATTGTAATTATTATGCATGCTAGTTGTAAATGAAAGATTTTCTGTACTGAGAAAATGTTCACAAAGAATATCCATGCTTAAGAATTCTTCATTATTTACCATGTATATTTTTAGTTATCAAGATTTTGACAGGTTATATGTGCCAGTATAAACGTTTGTTATATGGGAAACAACTTACATGTCCATATAACCCTGTGTATATTCGGCCATATAACCCTTTGCGAATTTATAATGCAGCACAATTGCAATAATTGCCTTTACATCATTTCCCATTACATCATATATTTATATCAGCAGTTTAGAATATATAAACATCGCGATTATCGAATGAAAACCGATGTTACATAAGGAAAATGTTATTAAGCTGTTTTAGTGATATCGGCACATTAAAAAAGGTTGATTTTGTGACGGTAGATTAACACTCCGTGCAAATGCTTTATTTGGTGTATTCCTTCCTTTGATTGTTAAAAAAGTCAGTCTTTCAGGAGCCGTGTATAATGATAATATGAACAGTAAAATTGTCCAATGAAAGTCGATTTTTACAAACGGGCAGTTTGAAATCATAGCAGGGCTACAATATACAAATAATATTCTTGATTATTCTTTGTGAACATTTACAAATGTACACTTATGTCAAATTTATATGATTGTTTATTATATGTTTATTTCATAGATATCTTATAAGGAACATTCCAATATGTACATAATATAGAAAGAATAATGTAACTTTTTACTGCTTTTTTCATATTGATAAATAAGTGTGAGGTTTAAAATCTGACAAATAATCACATTATATATGATGATATCAATAATTTATAAGGTTAAAGAAAAAAAATTACTTCTTGCAATATGTGTTCGTTATCTAGACATTACTTGATACTACTTTACACCACAATGCGGGACATTAGACATATTCCTCCTTTATAATGTAGAAAAAAAACTACAATACTGGTATTTCTGTAAAATGGGTGAATTCCTTTTACGGATCGACCCTTAAGCATTCATCCAATAACGTTATTTCTGATGCTTTATGTAAGGCATTTAGGATTCCTTCTACTTTCAGAAGAAATAAAAATTGACAATTGACATATAAAGTGCTGTTATGACGTCACAGCTTTGCATGCGCATTGTCACCCCTCAGCGCATCCCTTGAACATCTTTGTCCGGTAATGAGAAAAATTTTGGAGTATCATAAAACATGATTTTTGTGCATTTTGTTACTGCTACTGACTTTTTGAGAGACAGAAAAGTATTTTATGTTGTGTACCGCTAAATTCATCAAGATTTATTACATATTTACTGCAAAATACTGTTAGTGTATTACATATATATGTTATGAACATTGTTAAGTTGAAAGAATAAATTTTGTTTGTTATAGTTTTCTTTGTGTTTCCCTTCTTTAGACGGCTGTATACTCCACAACAAATAACAACATGATGCAATAGCTTTAGAACTATTATTGACTAATTAACCTATATAATGTTGCTCTGCCAGAGAAAACACGAAAATACACAAAGTGACCACTTTTTGTCATACCATCACTCCGTATGACATCAGGCGAAAACACGAAAATACAACAAAGTGACCACTTTTTGTCATACATCAGGCGAAAACACGAAAATACAACAAAGTAACCCACTTTGTGGTATTTTCACGTTTTCGTCTGGCGCCTCGCAGAGAAAGTGATCTATACTACAAAGTAGTCACTTTGTAATAATTTCATGTTTTTCCCTGGCGCCATACGAAGCGAAAGCACAAAAAAAAAAAAAAAAAAAAAAAAAAATGGTCACTTTGTAGTACTTTCGTGTTGTTGTTTTTTTCGTCTGGCGCACCGCGGAGCGAAATGCGATAACACGAAAATACGACAGTGGTAGTGGTTTTCTATAAACCACTGGGGCATATTACAGACACAATTACATTAAGCTCAGCCATATTAATAAGTTAATATCTTAAAATATTTTCTTTGGCTAACTTTGATGAAATCTACTATTGTCTAGATTTTATTGCCAGGTGTCTTGCATTTTCTTTCGATCATTGATTTAACCACATAATCGTGTTGGAAATTGAAAATTGCTCTGATCAAACTGAACCTTCAATTTTCAATTGCATGTATAAAATTTGTTAAAATAAAAATTCAATTCTGGAAAAAATAAAACAAAATAATAATTAAGCCGGTGCTAGGGGACCTAGAAGTAAGATGTTGTACCTTTCCTTTTCACTCATGAACAGATTCAATAAAACCAAGTCTTCATTTTATTTCCATTCCTCTCGAAGTTTCTTGGCGTCATTAATGCTGCATTTATCACCCCTTAATACTGTATATATCACCCATTAATGCCTTATTTATTAGGAAAATATGAGCTCGGATATATTTTATATTCAAAAGCAAGCAACGGTAAGAAATTGCATGGCGTTCAATGTATTAAAATTGTATTTAAAGACTTGAAATGATAATATAGAATTGAAATATTTTGAAATATTAAGCTAGGTGCAAAAGCATTGTGGTTTGTCCCGTTTTCCAGGAATATTACAGTGGAATCAAGTACAAGTATGTGATATAACCAGGATATAATTAATATTGGTTCAGGTAGAAATGATTCTGATGAAAGCACCTGCTCGTGATACCAAAACCATGACGTATAAAACAAGGTGATAGGTTTGGTGCCGGTTTTCGATGTAACCATCGGCAAAAAAGGGAAAATATGGCCTTGGCATATTTTGACTTTAGGTGATAAACATTTCATAAATTATCATCCAAGTGCAAAAAAGGGTTAACTATCATTATTTTATAATAAGAGTAAGCCGCTATCATTATTTTATAATAAGTGTACAGTAAGCCGGTTACTGCAATAAAGTGATGAAATGTGTTCCATACGAGCAATGTTCATGTATATACAATGTATGTTTATCTTTCTAGCGTTTACCAAAACTGGTGTTTAAAAACCTAAATTTGAACATCAGAACAATAAATTTCATAACACGATGTCCCGTTATTCTAGACACATAACTAACCCTTATCACCCTAAATATCTTATATGGACTTGTCCATCTTGCATTTTGAACAAAACCATTAATCATTTTAGGGAAGTTTCAAAATATATGCCGACTGAATAGCGGCCAGTGCAGACCATGATCAGACAGCACGGGTATGCCGGCTAAATTGGTATGCACTGGTGGCATGGGAGTATTCACTTGCAGTCAGTTGCTTAAAGATTAAATAGCCTTTTACTAGAACTCATACACATATGTGGCACTTTATGTGATCCATGAACAAAAAATATTCCGATGAGAAACCTTTCCTAAATTTGTCCAGAAGTTCAAATGAAAATTACAACATTAACCCATTACTTCATGAGCATTTTGTGAAAAATGGCTGTTTTCATTGAAAAGTCTCCCGTTACAAGTTCAAATTGCTATAATACTATAAAAACTGCTTCAACACTAATCAAACTTGGCTAAAATGTTGACTGGACCATTGCCCTTGCAACAACATGCTCAGACTTAAATTTTTCTGTTACCATGGCAACGAGGGGACATCTCAAAATTGCCAAAAATCACTATTTTGCGTTGATTTTTTCCATCAAAATTGATTTCAAAGTGCTGCAACTTATCAATGGATTGAGATAGAGTCAAATGCTTTTCAGCGTTGGTTACACGTTACCTTATGATCAATCTGGGGTCATTTACAGCCTCTCACAAGTCCAAAATTTTCTTGGCGATGAGGGGGACTCCGCCCACCTTCAAACCCCCCAAACAGAAGGGGGCACATCCCCCTTCTGGCAACCCCCTGATGTATCTTTTGGTTGGGGGGCCGCGCCGAAAAAGAGGTCACTTTTTTAACAACATTTCTCAAACAAAAACAAGTGTTTGGGGCCTAAATAAGGCATTTTTTCATCATTTGAGACAACATAAAGGGGGGGGGGGGTGAAAAAGGCGTTAAAAGGCGTGTATATGAAGTAATGGGTTAACAGAAAATGATGAAAATACTTGAAATTACCCTAAATCGCGTTTTTTCATGTTTAAACATGGCCTGTCATATAAATTTGAAGAAAAATTGTTGTTTTGTAGATTTTTTTATTTTTTCATTAACCCATTACTTCATGAGCATTTTGGGAAAAATGGCTGTTTTCATTGAAAAGTCTCCCGTTACAAGTTCAAATTGCTATAATACTATAAAAACTGCTTCAACACTAATCAAACTTGGCTAAAATGTTGACTGGACCATTGCCCTTGCAACAACATGCTCAGACTTAAATTTTTCTGTTACCATGGCAACGAGGGGACATCTCAAAATTGCCAAAAATCACTATTTTGCGTTGATTTTTTCCATCAAAATTGATTTCAAAGTGCTGCAACTTCTCAATGGATTGAGATAGAGTCAAATGCTTTTCAGCGTTGGTTACACGTTACCTTATGATCAATCTGGGGTCATTTACAGCCTCTCACAAGTCCAAAATTTTCTTGGCGATGAGGGGGACTCCGCCCCCTTCAAACCCCCCAAACAGAAGGGGGCACATCCCCCTTCTGGCAACCCCCTGATGTATCTTTTGGTTGGGGGGCCGCGCCGAAAAAGAGGTCACTTTTTTTAACAACATTTCTCAAACAAAAACAAGTGTTTGGGGCCTAAATAAGGCATTTTTTCATCATTTGAGACAACATAAAGGGGGGGGGGTGAAAAAGGCGTTAAAAGGCGTGTATATGAAGTAATGGGTTAACAGAAAATGATGAAAATACTTGAAATTACCCTAAATCGCGTTTTTTCATGTTTAAACATGGCCTGTCATATAAATTTGAAGAAAAATTGTTGTTTTGTAGATTTTTTTTTTTTTTTCATTAACCCATTACTTCATGAGCATTTTGGGAAAAATGGCTGTTTTCATTGAAAAGTCTCCCGTTACAAGTTCAAATTGCTATAATACTATAAAAACTGCTTCAACACTAATCAAACTTGGCTAAAATGTTGACTGGACCATTGCCCTTGCAACAACATGCTCAGACTTAAATTTTCTGTTACCATGGCAACGAGGGGACATCTCAAAATTGCCAAAAATCACTATTTTGCGTTGATTTTTTCCATCAAAATTGATTTCAAAGTGCTGCAACTTCTCAATGGATTGAGATAGAGTCAAATGCTTTTCAGCGTTGGTTACACGTTACCTTATGATCAATCTGGGGTCATTTACAGCCTCTCACAAGTCCAAAATTTTCTTGGCGATGAGGGGGACTCCGCCCACCTTCAAACCCCCCAAACAGAAGGGGGCACATCCCCCTTCTGGCAACCCCCTGATGTATCTTTTGGTTGGGGGGCCGCGCCGAAAAAGGGGTCACTTTTTTTAACAACATTTCTCAAACAAAAACAAGTGTTTGGGGCCTAATTAAGGCATTTTTTTCATCATTTGAGACAACATAAAAGGGGGGTGGGGTGAAAAAGGCGTTAAAAGGCGTGTATATGAAGTAATGGGTTAAACAAAGTAAAGTAACTATTTTATATAAATTTTTTACTGTTTTACCCATGCTATGGCATTGAAATATAAACAGCAGATCAGCTAAATCCAAAGATATTTACATCTCTATCATTTAATTAACGGCCAAAGTTTTGATTGATCGGGGGTGGCTGCAAATACCCCATGGGCCCAGTGCAGGCCAAGATAACCTGGCAGTCATCCTAAATTGCCATTTGATCTTGGTCTGCACTGTTTGCTATTTCAGTCATTACTTACTTTGAAATTTTCCCATAAAGTGATAAATAGTTATGTCCAGACTTTAAGTCAAATCCATTAAGATTTTTAGCACGCTAGTGTGCTAAGGTGCTATGGGTTAAAGACCCATACATTCAGTTTAAAGGAAGAATAACAATTCTGTCAACGTTTGCAATTTATTAAGTATGCAAGTACATGTAAACTAAATGGACAATGGAAGGATTACTTTAAATTATAAAACAAAACAAGATGAGTGCTTTTAAATATGTGACATTTTCAG